CTCCCCCAGTCTTTTCTCTCACCTGCCTTGTGGAATGCAGCACTCTGCTATTCACTAATGGAGATTTATATATTTTTTCCTCTAATTGCTGCATTCTCTGTATTTCATGTATTATAGTCAAAATATATTTCATATCCTTTACATAAAAAACAGCTTCTCGTTTTTTGCTTTGGTAGAACCAGATCCTTCAGACATTTTCCTAGGCTGTTCCATGTTGAAAGTTGATAAATCCAGAGAGATAATAGTTTTTCAAGAAGAAATGTTGAAATGCATGGTAGGAATTTTCAAAGCCTGCCACAAGCCCTGCAGGAAGGTGCTTCATTTTGTAATCAGTGCTCAAACTTCATCAGTGACTGTGCTGGAAAATATTTCTGTGCTTTACAGTCAGCTGTGTGACATGCAGCTTTACATTTGCTCCTGCACCAAAAACTAGAATGTCCCTGAAATGTCCAGAGCTGACAAAGCAATTGTTGAAGCACTCATATAATGACCTGGAGGCAGTTCTAGCTGTGTAGCTCCTCTTTGGAGTCACCCACTGTGTGGCAGTCTGGATGGATAGTATTGCAAACACAGAAAGTAACCTGCTTAAATGGAAGTTCTTAATAGCTGTAGTTCACTTTTTACTTCACTCCAGAGACCTTCTGGTACAGGGCTGCATTGGGAGCTTTGCAGTTAGGAGAAGGATATAGACACGTGGGATGTGTTCAGCTCACTATACCTTGTGCTGAAAATTAGCTTGGAGGGGGAAAATACTCACTTAATTGCAAGGTTAAATAATTTGCAGTTTTGAGTACTGACATATATGTACCATTATTGGCTCAAGTAGTCAGAAGTATGTGTTCAGTACAGACTGTGTGGTCAGGTAGTCTCCTCAGCCTGAAGAATTTAAAGTTATATGACTTGTTCTTTTTGGCAATGAGATTTGAATTTGAGGACAAGTTTTTGGTTTGTTTAGTTCAAAGCAAGATTATGTTTTTAGTTTACTAAGGGACATAGTTGGCAGTTCAGAGAGGCCTTGGTTTAGGTAGAAAGGACCTGGGTTGTGCTTATATCCTATGTGAAGATTTTGAGCACTTTAGAGTGTCCAAATAACTCTGTATGAGTAGAACAGCCAATAACATAGAGTGCTTTATGTCTAGCCTGTTTGGAAGGTAAATGGCTTTGGACTTGACCATGAACTTAAACAGCATTCATAAAAGTGTAGGCATACACCTTGTATGTTAGATACAGCCTCCTTAATGCTTTATAAAAAATACTCAATTATCGTATTTCTGTGGGAAAGCCATTATGGGAAACAAAAAACTACATAACCAAACATTAAAATACAAAGGAAACAGAAACTGACCAAAATTCTTTTAAAATATACTCTAACATTCAAAGTTCCCATTTCTACAGGAAGGTCCCATTGCTGTCCCATTCCTGAATGTAGAAGAAAAAAAAAGTTTTCCTCTGCCTTTTGGTTTTGTCTAGAGAAAATAAGAAAAGTGCACTGAACACCAGTGAGGTTAAAGGCTTCCAGCAATGTTACAAAGTAGGGTTACAGTAAGGTTACCAGTAAGGTTACAAAGGCTTCAGCTTAATCCTGTTTCTGCAGAAGGGCAAGGTTACTGATGTGGTTCTCCCAGCCTGATTAGTCCATGGAAGTTTTCCATATACACATAGAACTCATTGACATTAATAAGAGCAGACCTCACATATGTCCTTTCTTATGTCCAGCTGCACTCCTGAACTCAAAAGGCATCTGAATACTGTTATAATGGCATAAACTAGGATTGTATCTTCCTTAGTAATATATTAGATCCTTTTTCCATGAATTATGATTTTGATATCTTTTGTAATTTATCAATGAAGTGACATTTTTTTCCTGTGTGATTTCTGCTTCATACCCTAAATGTATATATTCTCAATAATAAAGTATTTTCTATAGTGGATGATTAATTTCTAAAAGAGCAGCAAGTGCATTTTCTGGTACTCAGACTTACAACTATGGTGTCTGTGATACACAAGATCATGGTTTAAATTTTATTTTATTTATTTATTTATTTATTTAGTTTATTTACTTATAGTTTTTTTTTTCTTGTATGCAAAGACCTATGGGCTTTACACATATTACTTTTAATTTTGCAAGATTTCAAAAATCATTTACCCAGTCAAGATTTTAGTATTTCTAGAACTTCCATTGAAAAACTGATGTCCAGTGACTTTATCAAGCTATTAGCTTTATTTCAAAAAGTTGGTATACTAAGGTATACTAAGCCATACATGTCTGTCACAGAAATGTAATGCACTACAGGGCTTCCAGAGCTTCCAGACAACCATCCTTTTATTAACTTGCATAGCATTTATGCCTGTCATTTAGATCAATTAATGCAGTATTAAGGGCAAAATCTATAAGATCTACAGTGGCTTTACAACTTCTAATTTGTATGATAATTTTTAGAAACATATAACTGCATATTTCACACAGATAAAACCAAAATAGTTTTTGGATGGAGTTGTGGCATATTTTAATTTTTCATTTTATAAATGCCAATTATTTAGTATTTGCTGTGAGATACATCTACAATAAAAAACAGCCTTCTACATCTTGTTTGAAAAGGAGAAGGGAAAATGGTCAAGCAAGAAGACAGAGTGCTTTTATTAGGTAGCAGGCTCAATTTTGCAAGTGTTCCTCTGTGCAGCTTTAGTTCCAGGGTTTATCATTTGATGAAAAGTAACTATTTTTGCAAAATGACTGAATCTAATCTTGGACACATACTGGATACAGTATGTGGATACAGTAGTAAATGGGTAAAAGGACTTGGAGTAAGCAGAAACCAGCTATACCAGCAGATAAGCCTGGGTCCAATGCTTGAAGGCCCCACGGAATTAGTAAAACAGGCAATATGTAGTCTGGAACTCTTGCTATCTTCTGGATATCTCTAAATGTGTATTTATGAGTAAGGGCTAGATCTTCGTGAACTCACTGATGATTTCACTCAGTACCCCTTGAGGAAATGTCTGGAGGCAAAAGTAGCACTGGAAATTCCATTGCAGAAGTAGCTTTAGCAAAATGTTGCCAACTTTCAAAAGAGTGTTTCTTTCCCCTTTGGCAGGATAGCCACACTTTTATCTGTAATACAGGCAAGATGTTGACATTCATGGCAAAGCAGTTTTGGTAAGAATTTGCCATTTTTAAATGTTATTTTCCTTTCAAGCGTCAAGAAACATAGTTGAGAGATTTACAGCCTATTTATTATTTAGAAAATATGAATTAATTGATGCCTCAAAGTAATTCTATGAAGTTACTTTATCACTGTTTTTATGAAAGAAAAGACTACAAGACAATATGCTGCAAGATTTCTGCAATGTGTAAGGGACTAAGTTCAAAGTATCTTTTTGAAAACAAAGCCTTTGTATTTTGAATATTTCCTTTTTTAAAATGAAAATGAGACTTGATTTTTTTTTTTTTCATATGGGAGTCTATTTTAGGAGGAAACAAGTGAAAAAAAAAATTCACTTGTTTTACTCATTGTACATATACAATATACTAAGTTGGACTTGATGATCTCAAAGGGCTTTTCCAACCCAGTTAATTCTGTGATACCTCTCCAAGGGGAATGTTTTACTTTACTAAAACCTCTATTGGTTTTTTGTAGTTTTATGGGGCTGTATCTTCACATCCTTTCTGTAAAGTTTTCTAGACAAGTGTTAAGACAGTGCTAAGACTTGTTAGTTACATTTCACCACCCTACTGATGCAGTTCCAGGGGAGTAGCCTGAGCAGATCTGAAGTAACAGAAATAGGAAAATGTTTTTTGAGGTCTGTATTAGGGAACCTTGAACTACTTTGCTTTAGTTTGGTCAAATTTGACAGAAAATGAAACATTTGTTTCCTGCACATAGTACTGTAAAAATATTATGCAGCATTCAGTAACAAAATGTTTTTCATGTAGCACACAGTAACAATGGTAAGGCGGGGAAAAAAAGAAAGAAACATAATAGTGCAGAATGTGTGGGCATAATTTACAGTTTGAAGTACCTACATAAAAGAGAATGTTTTATTAAAATACGTGAGTCATTTCCTAATTCTTTGGACAGCAGCATTAATTTAGATCTCTTCTTAAACTGTTTTTCAAACCTTCCTTTCTACTGTGTGACTGCCATGGAGGTTAAATTCTGACTTCATGAAATATTTATGTTTTGTCAAAACTCTAGGCACTCCCATTTGTGGGGTATTCTGTATTCTGTACTTACTAGAATTCATCCTTATATTTGACCAGTAGACAAAGCAAAGTTAATATGCTTTTTATTCTCAATATAGCTTCTAGAATTTTTTTTTTCATTTAACCTTCCTTAACATCATCTACTCTAAAGTCAATACAGAGTACCATTGTTTTAAGTATTGCATTGATGTGATTAGAATAAATACTAATTTGTGTTAGAAAAACAAAGAAATAAGTTCCTCAAGACTTTCCGTATTCAAATGCTTTTCCTTCTGGATATTCTATTAGAAATACAATTTGCCTTTTCATTTAATTTACTGTAAATAATTTTATAGGGACAGTTAATAAATCTGGCACGGGGATGTTTTGCTCTGTACATAATTTTATGCACACCTAGACACACACAAATGTATCTCCTTCCTCACCGCTTTTCATATTCCATGTACTCTGTTATTGAAGCCTTAACTTTTTCTTGGAAGCCCTTTGCAAGTCCTCCTGGCAGAGGTTACGAATCAGATAGGATAAGCAGAAGTCTTTACGATTTTACTGTACCTTTGTCCTTTCTTTCACCTTTCCTTTACTGCACTGTCTTGTCTGTCTGATTCTCGCAGGAGACATGGATTACAACTGGTTGGACCATACGTCTTGGCATAGCAGTGAGGCATCCCCAATGTCTTTGGTGAGACATGTGGAGCCTTACCATTTAGTTTCCTTTATCATTTTACATTTCCTTGGTTTTATTTACACCTTTGCATGTTTTCTTTTTTTGTATCCTTTTTTTATCCCACACCTATAGGGGACAGTCAAAGGGGAAAAAGAAAAACTAGTGAGCAGGCAGTTTTGTCGGATTCTAACACCTTATCCGAGAGGCAAAAGAAAATGGTCTGCTTTGGTGGCCACTCTTTGGAAGAGGACTTGGAATGGTCTGAGCCTCAGATAAAAGACTCTGGGGTAGATACGTGTAGTAGCACAACTCTAAACGAAGAACATAGCCATAGTGAGAAGGTACTGAGATTATGGAGCCTGCATTTTAACCTGCTCATTTGGTCTTTGTTTGCTCTCTGTCACTCATTAAAATAGTGCATAAAATGAAAGATAGGGTGTTTCTAGAGACAATATAGCATTTCTTAAGGTGCAGAAAAGAAAAACAAATGAAAAGTCTTTGCATGCTTGCAGCTTTTACTGTTTGGCAGCCTAAGAAAAAAACATTGAGAGGCATAAAGGAATGTTGTTCTTATGGTTGCAAATTAGCATATCTGGATATTACCTTAAAGAACAAAGCAATTAACAATAAGGATTCTACCAATTGGCTTATTTGATTTACTATTTCCAAACTCCTGGGGCTGAAATTAAATTAATAGTTTAAACCCCAGGTGAAAAAGGGAGAAAATTGGGTCTCTCTGCACAGAAAAGTTGTTTTTCTTTTTTCCCTTTCACTGTCATAGTTGTTCATTTGTTTTGTTGCCATGTAATTTTTGTGCAGTACTGTGCACAAATTAAAGGCTTTGCCATCTGCTTTGGTATTTTTTATTTTTGCTTTCTGTTTGGTGGAGATTATGAGAAATCTTTTTAGAGTTATTAGTTGTAATGGGAGCAGATTTATCTGTGTCTGCTAATTTTGCATGAAATAGAGCATGAAATAATATTTTTCTGTGAGAAAGTACTATGATTACACAAAAGAAAATCTTAACAATTCATTAATTAGGCCAATAGACAAGTATAACTGTGTCCATATATAGTAATGGAATAACAATGCTCACTGTAACTGTGCTTCATGTGTGAATTAATTATTCTGAGAAAGAAACAGAATATTAAAATAAAGTAATGAAGTAACCTTTTAACAGTGTTTTTTAATTTGAATCTACTACTACTGAGAGAAAGTAAAACACTAAAATATTTGTTGGTCTTGGATTAAATTTGAAATTCTTGAAGTAGTAGAAAAGTAAGACCTTTCTTGTATAAACTTTCAGTTTGAGTTAAACTTCTTTTCCAGTATTATTCTTATACTAGACTTTTAGCAATGTTTTTCTCAGTACTCGAGTGTGAATCTCATTGAGTCTAGACAACTATATGTAGTTGTCTATATCTGTCAAATCAAGACTGAAAGATCGTTCTAGATGTTTACAAATTTGATTTAGTAAAATAGATAATGTTATTAAATATTAGACATCCATTTTGATGAATGATATGTCCAAATAAATATTTTCCAGCAGTTTTCTGTCATTTTTTGTATTAAATTTTAGTGTGATCATAATACTTTCATAGCATTTTTAAAATATATAAGCAAATGAAAAGTATTACTGAAATATTTTTCATTAAAATTCTCTTCACTGTATTTTCCATTAACACCATATGATAGCATCCAGTAACTTGGCAACCATCCAAAGATGGAGATCGTCTCATTGGTCGGATTTTGTTAAATAAGCGACTAAAAGATGGAAGTGTGCCTAGAGATTCAGGAGCAATGCTTGGATTGAAGGTTGGTGATGAACAGTTTTGAAAGTAACATCTCTCTCAGTTAAACTAGCTACTTTTATAATTAAAGTAGTCTGGTGCATGCATACCAATATTGATAATGCCTTACCATTCTCAGAATTGCAATATAGACATTTTATATTCGTTTACCTAGAGTAATTTTGCAGGGTCCTTGGCAGAATTAAAAAATTGTATTTTTCTGAAACACTAGACATGTTTTCAGAAGTTTTCTGAGCATGTCTTCTTAGCAAAGTACGAATTGCACCCTTGCTAGGCAAGTTGAGTCCTGTCTGTGTTCTTCAGTATGGAGCATTGCACCTCGGTATAACTTTTATTTCCCAAGAAAGAGAAGAAAAATGAAAAATAAATTATCTCTCTTGAAGACCTAACCTGTGAGTTAATGTTATTTTGATCCAGGTCATAGTATGCCAATGGAACTTCCTCTTTTTGAATTTTTCTCTCCTCTGATTGTTTGATTTGCCACATTTTAAATATACAAAATGGAAAGTTGTTTAATATTATTAGTTTTATCACAAAATAATGTACTCTTTTTAAATGTGTTAACGTCTTTTTCATGATGCAGTGTTCTTTAAACACATAATGAATTTCTTGCTCACATATTGATCTCAATTTTGTGTGATATTATTATCTGCAGTTCCAGAAATACTAGTACAAGAATGAGAACAAACTATAAACAGTGAAAGAAACAAACTTGTATTTATTTTGATTCCATATCCTTGCTGTAAGAAATTATTAAGGAGCTTAAATTTTCTGTTCTCTATTTAGCATGACTTACTTCCCCTCAGGTGTACAGATTAGGTTATTGTCACACCCTATGAGTAAGGATTACATCAGGGTAGGTATGTATTACATATACTAACATGGAAAGATCTATAACTATATATTTGTACTAAAATTGGAAAGATTTTAAATGTTTTATTTAATTAATAAATAATTTTATTTGAAGTCAGTGGAGAAGCCAGTTAAACATCAAGTTTTATATATTTATTTTTCTCTTATCAGAAAATGCAAGACATTAAGAGGCACCTTTTTTTTAAGCATCTCTGTTAAAATTTCTAAAATCTCATATTATGAAGGTGAACTCTACAGTGAGATTCATTAATAGTTCAGATTCAAGAGTAACTACTTTTTAATTTCAATAGACATCTGGAAAGAGTGATTTCCAATACTGACCTGAATTTTCAAGTATTTACATATTGAAAGTAAACTAAACTGGATTTAGTATTACAAATTTTAAATCCCAGTATGAAGACTGTTAAGAAACCTTAAGAATTTGAAGATTATTCAGTTGTGACTTATTCTGACACGTAAGTCTGATTCTAAGATAAATATTAAGGTCAAACCTGTTGAAGTTCCCTGTAGAGAAATTTTCAGTGTGACAAGTGTTTTCACCTGACTTGCCAAGCCAAAGGGAATTTCATTGCTTACTGTGAACATCCTGAGTTCTGTTACATTAATATATCTTTTTCCAGCTAAAAAAATAGTGAAATGAGCAGTCAAATGATCAATAACTTACATTGTTTTGGTTGTTAATTTATAATATAGTGAGATACTATGCATGTATTTGCTAAAATTTAAAAGCCTTGGGATTATCTGTTTTCACTGTTTTTCAATTGTACAAATTGCCAGAACAGCTGCAATGATAACCTGTCATAGCCAAACTTCTGTGGTATTTTTTTCAAGTGTATATGTGTTACCTGGACTACACAAAACCCAAGGAAAAAGCTGAATTATTTTTTCTACTGCCAGTACATTTAAATAATTTAAAGTAATTTTCATACTGTGAAAATACTTCCTATTTGAAACAGGTAGTAGGAGGAAAGATGACTGAATCAGGTCGACTCTGCGCATTTATCACCAAAGTTAAAAAAGGAAGCCTAGCTGATACAGTGGGGCATCTTAGACCAGGTATGTATCTACTATAGATCCGTACTGCTGAGTTTCTTTTCTGAAGGTGATAACAACTGAGCAAGTTTAATTACATGTGAAATTATACTAAATAGATGTGGTGAAATACTGGAGAATGTAACTGACACTGTTACTAGATGGTTGCTTTTATAAAATATACATTCTTATGTTGTTAAAAAAATATTTTAACATTTTTGCTCATTTTTATACTCAAAGTAATATTCCATTGATGTCCTCCCCAGTCATTTTATGGTGTATATTTTGTTTAGAGCAAACCAAGCTATGACAAAGGCATGAGCAGAACCACCTTGGCTAGGAAGCTGCTTCTGTTCCAGCAAGCAAACCATAGATTGCTACACTGGAGCATGTTCAAGAAATATTAACTATTAACATAAGAACTATCTGAACTAAGTTGGTGAGATTTGATGTTTTAGTTGTGAATTTTCTAAAGAGCATGTTGGGATTTCTGTAAGCCACAGCTGCCATACCAAGTAAGAGGAGCATCTGATTCATTAGGGGTCCTACTGATTTTATTGTTGTTTTGCAGAACTTTACATGTTTGAATCTGAGCTGCAGAAAACCTTTAATACTCAGGTTTTTCCTGCATGAAGGCCTCCAAACTTGTTTTATAACACAGGTTTCACAATCCAATAAACTGACAGTAGAATGGCTTAAATCATTATTATAAGTGCTGTCCACAGGAAACTTCCTAAGCAGGGTGTTATTACTTACAGGTGATGAAGTATTAGAATGGAATGGAAGGATACTACAGGGAGCCACCTTTGAGGAGGTGTATAATATAATTTTAGAATCCAAACCTGAGCCACAAGTAGAGCTTGTAGTTTCAAGACCAATAGGGTAAGTAATTTAATGTATTTTTATATTCACTTTTAAGATGGAGTATATAAAACATTCATTAACATTGTAAACAGAAAAATCTTATGCAAAATTCTGTAAACCAAAAGTGTAGCTGGAATGATAGATCATGCCAGCGAGTAAAAAGAGCTGGTGTGAAATCCTGTGTTCTCAGAGTCTTGGGCATCATCTGCTATTATGGTTAAAAATAGGTTCCCTTCTCTGGCATTTCAGTTGGTGAGCCAGCCTATATTGGCTTTAAAACTGTAGTTTTAAACTCGTTGTTGTAATTCTTGACTGTTGATTTTTATTTCTGCATTCCCATTTTTTATAATACATACATAAAATTATGAGATCATATTTGGTCTATGAACTGATGATGAACTCCATTTACTGAGAGTCTGCAATATAGAATTTTGTGTGAAATATAGTATGCTAATGAAAAAAATCAATATGCTTGGAAAGTCTCAAATCAACATTCACATCACCTTCACCTATGGAACTGTTAAATTATTGCTTGTTATGTAATACAGAACACATCTGAATGAATAGTTAGAATTGTATGGGACTTTATATTTGGTGCTGTACATTGCCCATTTTTATTAACCTTCAAACTTACCTCTCAATGTCTAAACTTAATTTTTTCTTGCATAGCTGTAGTTGCTTTGTTGTGTTGGACTGTGAGTACTTCCTCTTCTTCAATTGTTCTTTTTCTTCCAAGCTCCTACACCCTAAAGGCATATGCACCACGTTTTTAATTCTCCATTGGAATGTGACCATATCTGGTCACATGACAATTGTGAGAGGGGGAATGATTATCACTGATTTTGAAGATATTTGCAGTCATTAAGAATTTTCTTTTCTTTCCCCGGAATTTTTTGTGACACAAGACACAACTGGACAGGGTGATAGGTAATATCATCTAGATTCCCTTTTCCATTTTAGGTTGGACCAGATGATCATTCAATATCACTTCCAACCTGGACTGTTTGAGGATGCTATGATTACATTTTAATAAATATATATATATCTTTATTTTGTATAAGATGCACATTAACTTAATATAAGAAAACATGACTAAAAATTAAGAAGTACTAAAAAAATCTAGAAATATATAATCTAAGAACGAAATTTCAGTGAGGATGACTGGTATGGTTTCGGCTATAATAGGAATTTATTATGTTGGACACATCAGGAACTTAAGGTGTAGGAACTTAATTTGGTATTACAATTTTAAACAAACTTGATAATAACAAAAAACCGGCTTTATCTTGTCAGTGAGATGAGAGGTCATGTCCTATATACATATGGAATTGCAACCCCTTTAGGGTAACAACTGTATCATCTGTCACATCTTTGCCCAGCTTGGGAGGTGTGGGTATTATAGTAATGCCAAGGGACAAACTACATTACTTGTCTCAGAAAAGGAGGTCTCAAATCAATTTTATACACAAATCTTCCAGAGTATGTCCCAAATAGAAGTTTACAGCAAAAGTTTCAAGTAACAACTCACATCTTGAAAATACCGACTTTTAAAAATCTTTTTGCATTGTTTTCATTGTGTACAATCTTCTGTATTATTTCTTGCGCTTTTATATTTGCTGTCTCTTGTTCAGCCTCCTTATCATCATGTCTTCTGTTATGTTGCTGTCACTCAAGCAGCTCATTTATAATTCTTAAGCAAAGTGGTGTGGGCTCTCAAGATGGCTTTTTCTGCATTAAACCACTTGCCTCATAGTCTGAAGAACTGAGCTAGATCAGTGATAAAAGAGTTGTTCAATATATTTGATTCCCAGTGTCATTTTACAGTAGACGTAAAAGAATCTTAGTGATGAATACTTCCTACAAATTGGTAGGTTTTAGATTTTGGTTAGGTGTGTGTAACTCTTTGGAGTTTAATATTAACAGCATAATGTCAGAAATGTTTTTCATGAGTTTAGAGCTGATGAACTGGAAAGACTATTACTTTTTTCAGTTTAGAAGATTTCAGTTCATAATCAAATGCACAACAAAAATTAATAGGTTACGTTTGTCCAAGGAGCTATAACTTCATAGGATTGTGTTCTGCTCTGGGAGATAAAGTTTCAGTGTATGTACAATATTTAAAAGTTCTTATTTCCTAGATATCAGGAGTGATATTTATTTTATTAGAATTATCGATGCCCAGTTGAAGGGTTTTGCTTTTGCATTGAGATAAATCCTATTATTTATAAGGAGAATTTCTTGGTGGATTCATGGCAACACTTTAAATAGTTCAAGAAATCTTCAGTTACTAGCAAATAACTTAGCTGAGAACCTGTTCACATCCTGATATTCTGAGAACAAAACCAAATTCCAGTAAACACAGTTATTAGTTTTTCTCTTTATTGCAGGCTGAGTGCTATGAAAACTGAAGATGACAAGCTAAGCTGACAAGGCAGATAAAATTGAAAGCCATTCTGAAAAAATCCCAGCAAAACAAAACATGCCAGTTTGTCGTGCAATTTACCACATTTTTCATCTTAAAATAAAAATTGATTACCAAATTGCAAATCAGTGTAAGTTGATTGTCCCTTATACAGAGGAATTTACCTGTTTTCTGCCTTCTTATTCTCAGAAACAGATAACTTAAAATGCTTATTATTTTCATGGTTTCTTCAGTTTTGAATTTGGAAGGAATAATGCACTGTTTTAATAATTAATCTATGCAACCTGTGTGCAGTGGAACATAACTTACTATGCAAAGTGTTTATGAAATTGATTTTACTTCTCCTCCATCTCTTTATCTCTATGAGAGTTCCTTGTAAGAAGAGAGTTCAGCTCAAGAGTGTAGTTTTGAGTCAATTACTAGGCGAGTTTTGGATCCTGTTATAAATTCTCCTTATATACAAACTGAAATATTTGCTTCTTCAGTAGTGCTTGTGAGTTTCTCACAAGTTTTGGGTACTAACAACAGAGATTTTTTTCACGTCTCTTGTGGGCACTTAGAGCAGTTTCATGCCGTCTGGTTTATTTCATTTATTGGATACTGTGCATCAACTCACTTGGAAAGATTCCTCAGTCTTATTAGTAAAGCTGTCTTTCTAGTGAGTCTTGAAAATTGTTTGGAAAAGATATACCAAGAGTATTATGGAAAAGCTCTTCTAAAGAAAATGGATAAGTTATTTATGTATCATGCTGACTCTTTCATTGTATGAAACAGTAGATATCACTGGAACTTTTTAAATTTCCTTTTCCTTTACTTTTGTGGTGAGTTGACTTGACTGAGCACCAAAGACTTCCTCTCTGCATTTCCCTCCTCAGAAGGACTCAGGGAGGAAATAAGATGAAAAAGTTTATGGGCCACTCAGCAGTTACCACTGTGGGCAAAACAAACTTGAGGAAGATTATTTTGTTAGGAATTAAGAAAATAAAAGGATAGTGAATAATAAAACCAAAACTGAAGCCCCCTTACCCCTACCTCTCTTCTTCCTAGCCTCAAACTCACTTATTTTTCCCTATTTTTTCTGCCTCCTTCTCTGCCAAGGAGTCCATGGCACAGGGAAAAGGAATTGCAGCCAGTCGTCCTCCTCCACCTTCTTCCCTGACCTTGGTGTCTGCAACAACATTTTTCTCATGGCCTTTTTTCTCCATTGTTTTCTCTCACAGCTGCTGCACTGCTGTTTTGTCCTTTATTAAATGTGTTATCACAGAGGCACCCAAGGAGCCAGCTGGGCCCAGCACAGTGCAGCCCCAGCCTCTCCTCACCATGGCCACCCCTCAGAACTGGCTGTGGCCTTGGGGAAACCAACTGCCCTGAAACGCACAACGGGATTGTAAATGTGCTTTTGCTGTGACTCAGAACTGAAGCTCTTCGTCTTGCTTGGTTTTGCTCAAATAGCTCTGAAATTGTTTATTAGCATATTGATAGTTTTTATTAGCATGCAGTAATGTTTGTCCTTCAGAGGAATAATATATTCCTTTGCCTGGAGGGATGTGATTGCGCGCTTTAAAATGACGTGGCTCTGCACATAATTTGACACAGGTGTTGCAACATGTCTTGTTTATGAAAGAATGCAATTTTGCCAAATGAACTTATACATTTTATTTGGTTATGAAAAAGGTAAGATTGATTAAATTTGTGGTTCAAGTTCAGTAAAGAATGTACTGGGATAGCCATGGCAGCCAAGTATGTTTTGGTGAGGGTCCACAAAATTTAATTGATGTATAATGTCATCATAGAAGCTACTACTCACAGTTTTAGTCTACCATTAACTCTGAGATTGTTCTTTTATTTACTGAATAATTTCATTTGTGACTGTGTAGGCTGTCTCCTGGATCCACCAAATCTTCTTTGTAGGATTTAATTTGACACTGAATTGATTTACACAGGATAACAGATAATCATACCAGTAGCTGAAGACAGCCAGCAGATCATGCACCATTCCTGAGGCATTCCATGGTGGCTTGGGAAGTGTTATAGTGTAACTGAAATTTAAATATGCTTGTTAGATGAAGGATCAGCCTGTCTTAATTTTCCTGATTTCAGGGACATTCCCAGAATACCTGACAGCACACATGCACAGCTGGAGTCCAGTAAGTTTCAATTGTGGGGTAGGAAAATCTTCTCTCTCTTTTATGTAAGCACAAATAGAATGAAAAATGTCCTCTGCAGTCAGTATAGGTCTTGTCTTTTTGTGTATATTTGTCTCAATATGTCATCTTACTGTATTATCTATCTACCTTTGTTTAATAATAAGCTATCAAAACTCAGGATATTTTGATTTAGGTTAGGCATTGGTTATAAGCTGAGATGAATTTTGATTGAAGAAAGTATAATTCTAATAATATATAAGAACATTAATAGCAATTTTTAATTTCCTGTTCTCTTGCTTTGCATTTCAATTGCATCTTATAAACTAAAAATGAGAAAGAAATGTTCTTTGTTTACAGCCTGAGTGATAGCTACTTTGAACTCAGAATACCCTTACTTTATTAGAGCCACTCAGTGCTACTTAAATTGACTGAACCCATATTTCATGTAGGGAAGAATAACTTGTTCTTTGGCTTGGATCTGATAAGATGGATTTCAGCTTGGAGTTATTTTTTATCACTGTTTTAGAATGCTATTGTAATAGAAGCAATGAATAAATGAAACGGCATAAGCTTGATAATTATAGTAATATGAAAAACTCCTTCAATGACTTTTTACTCATTGCCCAATTCTTAATATTAACTTTATGTTTTGTGAGATATAGATTATCTTTTGTATTTATAAAAATACTCCACTTTTCCTCTATGTTTTGTACGTCAAAACTTGTCCTCTGACCATTTTCAGACCTTGTAAATTTGAAACAAAATGCACAAAAAACATAGCATATGTCTTGTTATTTTTGTAAAAATCTAATTAAAAATTAGGTAATTGGACAAGATAATAAGTGAGAAGACTGAATTCATTTGACCACAGTAAAGTGTTTATTTTTGAACCTTCAACTTACTGACATAATTACAGTCAGAAATATCTGAATAATCTATATTCCATTCTATAAATAAAAGCTCCTGATTGCATCTGATCACCAAAAGATTGAGTATCATCATTTGGTAATTTTAAATAGATTTTAAAAAGTGATATTTATCACAACTTTACTGCATGTTTGATTATATTTCTACAATTTCTGCTTAAAGAATATTGAAATATATGCATAACTGCTACTATGTATAAAATATTTTTGTTTATAATTACAGGTTCTAGTTCATTTGAATCTCAGAAAATGGACCGACCTTCTATTTCAGTGACTTCTCCTATGAGTCCTGGCATGTTAAGGGATGTTCCACAGTTCTTGTCTGGACAACTTTCAGTATGTAAACATTTCATTGATATTAATGTTGTACTTTTTGCAGCATATACAACTCTTACTGCAGTGCTAGCTACCTTTAACAGAAATTTCTTGTTAAACTAAACTAGCTACATTTTTTTGTTTAATGCTATACATCTCAGTCTAGGCAGGAACAGAATTTCATAATCACATTCCATTTTATTAACTTTTGGAAATTTGATATATACATGTATATGTATCTGGTAATCTAGACTGGTAGAGTCAAATTTTCAGAGAGGTCTTATCTTGGCCTCCAGTTATGTTTGTGCTGTTCAGAGTAAACATTTTTCAACTGTCACACTTGTGTGTAGAGTTGGTAGATTTTATTACCTGTGTGCCTGGATGTTACAACTGCTTATTTCTTATGCACTAACTCTCATATATAACTTCCCCAGATATCCCTCTGATATTTTACTCATGTTGTATTCTTTGTACTGATGTTGCTCAGTTTTGTTCTTCACTCTCACTGAGAAGAAAGTTCATTTTGTGAATATTTTCTTTTAAAGGGTACTTCTTTTGTAATAAACTGAAAAAGTTGGGTTTGTGCATCTTTCCATGTTATTTAAAATTCCAAAGTGTGATTTTTCAAAAGTGCTCATTTGAGGCCTGACATATTGAAAAGGAAAGGCAAATGGAATGGAAGCAGTGCAAAACTGGTGTTAAACAAGTTTGGAAATGTTACATTCAGGTTACTTCCAAGTTGTATATATTGAGTGTACCATAAAAATATGTATAAAATCCAAGCAGACTGTTTCTAGGTCTCACAGAAATGGTTTATGGTATGGATAGAGGAGACAGAGAATATTTTTGTCTCTTCAGTGGCCATATTGGCTCCATCTTGCAGTGCATGAGACTTTATTTGTTTGCTCATCAGAAAAACCATTTACAATGCATAATTTTCTGTAGTTGTTGTACTTAACAACTTTGAAAGATTTAATGCTTTGGATAAATGGAAAACTAAAAATCTTGACTGTAGAATGCAGAGTACTTTGCAAAAGTACAAGGGAACATGAACTGTCAAAATACACAGACCAAAATTTCTAAAAACCCTCTTACTTTTACAAGACAGTAAAAACTGTTAATAGGGGAGACAGGGGAGAAAGAAATTCCTTTTTTCTAACCTTCATAAAAGATTAGGCTGTCAAAAAGTGGTGGTGCCTAGCTCCCAGCAGGAAATTCAAGAGCCAGAGTTAGCTGTTCAGATGACCAGTGCAAACACAAGATGGAATAATTGTCCAAATAGAAACCACATAGAACTGACTTTCTCAGTTTCAGATCAAAATCATCATGAGTTTAAGATTAGGATTTTTTTGTGAAGTCAGTAAATCTTTTGATTTAGTGGTTTCATAGGATACTGAAGTTTAAGGTATGTAATCATGGCATTGGGAAATTTTGAGGTATTTTGTAATTTATTGAGAATAACAGAAATCCAAATGTTTTATTTTTCAGAATGGCATATAAAATTCAGTGTTTAACTCAACAAGGCATAAATCCTATTTTTATTCATTTTTTTAATGTTTCAGTATATAAGTGCCTATTCTAAAAATTTCTTTGCATCTAAGGAAACTCAATAATATTACGAGACGTTATAAAATCTTTCCTTTTTTTTTGGTACTTCCTTATCTACTGTTTGCAATTACATTCAATACTCCCTACTTCATATTATCGGTGTTTCCCCCAGAGAGCAGCTGATATCTATCTGAGCATGCAAAGCTCCAGCTGGGCGAAACTGAAGTCAGAAATACTCTGTAACTCTCTAAAGTTGCAATTTAGACATCTAAAAATAGTAGACATTTTGAAAGTTTGGATGCTTGTCTTGTCTGCCCTGCTAATGAAACACTGGAAATAGCTGTATTTCATGTTAATCATGTTAAGGGCACAACCCAGCTCCTGCTGCTGTTGGGTCATGACTTTGGGAGGGAAGTCTTTTTTCTTTGCTAGCAAAGGTGGCTGTCATAGTGTCTGAAGATGCTTTGCATAGGTGGCAAGATGAGATCTAACTGGGCAAATTGCAATGTATAGGCTAATAAGCATCTTTAGAAATAGAGAACTTTATGAGAATTGAAGTATTCTACAGGAAAAGTGTTTTCAAAACAATCAATGTAGTTTCTTTTTGGTCTGATCCTTTAAGATAGTTTTGAAGAATTAAAAATGTTGTGACATCAGATTTGGGTGTTTATGTTCTTGAAAGTAGTAGGATGAATAGTTTTTCCTTTGCTTTTTAATATTTTGGTTTATAATTCTATAATTTTTAGAAGTTTTGAAACTTTAGAAGAGTTAGTGAAAAAATCCTGTTTGTAAAGTTGGAGATGTTTTGAAAAATTAGAATGGACTGTGAGATTTTCTAATTTTGGACCTTTAGCAAAGGTGAAGTAGTAAGGTAAAACTGAATTTTAAAGTTACAAAAAATATTTTATTTCGAATGCTTCAAAATGGATGTGCTTCAGTATTTTGGTTTTCTGTGTCTTAATCAGCTCTTTTCTAACAGAACAATTGATGGATCGCATATTCATTCAAAATAGCTGAGTAAGGTAGAAATGAAAGGAAATACTAAATTCTGAATGTAATTGTGAATGTGCTCTTTATGGGGAGTGCCTAGACAGGAGAATAACTACAGAACCCTGGCAACAAATGAGCTGTAAATTAGTAAATGAGGATGCTGTTCTCCATGGAAGTGCTGGGTCAATGATATTCTGGGTGATGGTGGCTGAATTCAAGCAGGTGTGATGGGGGAACAGATGAAAGGCAAGATTTTGGAAGTGTTTTCTGTATTTTCTGTGCCTTTGAACAGTAGCATGTATCCTGAGGGGTTGCTGTTAGCGCAGCTGTAGTTACTGGCATAGGCAGTGAAACACAAGAGCTGTAGGCAGAAATGAAGACACAACAGTTTGGATGAAAGTCTGAAGTATTTGAATGAATACTTGAGTATAGGCTTATTCAGACAATGCTCTAGATCCTTAAAGCATTTTTATATATAAGTAGGATTTTGGAATCTATTTCTTTATGTTCAGTATGGTTTTGTCTGGTTTAGTTGCAGCAGTGCCACTGTAGCATTAAGGGATGTCTTCCTCTGTATGTTCAGTTTTCCATGTTTTCCTCCGTGCTGGCATTGGTCTGTGTCAGTGTTTTCTTTGTAGAGGTTACAGTGTCAGTCTAGAGCTGACTAATAGGATTGACCACAAAGTAAACCATCACACATAGACAGGAAATCCTCTTTACATTAATAATTGTTCTGCCCAAGTACATATTTAATTGAACAAATTATGTGCAACTACAGTAAACTATTGTGTGTTATAACTTGCTAATATAATTTATCCATATTAACTGTGTTTTATTTTATAGCACTTTTTATTCATGTTGTTTTTCAGGGGAGTATCTGGCTGTTATTGCAATTATTTTCTATTATTTGCTTTGTCTCATTCCTGTTTCTGTATTTTTTTTCACTGAGCTGTTTTTCCTTTAACATCATTTTGAAAAAGTCAAAATTATTCTTTGTATGTTGGTTCTCTTAGCTTAGCTACTGCATTTTATCTACATTTTCAATACTGTATGAAAAGTATAACTTGAAATTCTTTTCCAATAGTTAGGTTTAGGGAATAACAACATAACTATGAGACCATGTGAATGGATACAAGTATAAAATCACAGTATTAAATTTTTGTACTGGCGGAAGTTCTAGCAGAAAAGGGGTGTAATTTATAAAATTAATCTATTTCCCTATACACTTGAACCACAGAACCACTTCAATAGATTTTCCATACATATTCAGTTTATAAAGCAGTAAAAATAAATTTATAGTAAATATAGTTGTAATATATGCAACATAATTGAAAGCCTTTATGGTACGTTATGAAAGGCCTATATGTCAGCACATTGAGGGGATGAGTTCAAGTACAACACATGCTACTCCTCCCCTTTCACATGTTCTTTTTCCTTTTCTTCCTTCCCTTTATACCTGTACAAAATTAAATTGCTGTTTCTCTTACATCAAAACCTGGAAAGTTCTAGGTAGTGCACACAATGTGTTGATTTTCCTCCATTTCCGAGGCAGAATATGACAGGTGAGGACCCTTGGTGCATGGTGGGGGAGATTCTGTCCTCTAAGGATTGCAGTATCCTGTGATAATTTATTTTTTCCCTTGTAAAATGGAGATGAAGTGAGCTGAAGATCTACTTTTATTGTGACTAGGTCACATTCTGACACCCTTAAAACTGGGCTCTGCAGTCCTGCCTGTGCAGAGTGGCAGGCAGAGTGCAGCTGCTGCACCTTGCGGGACGCAGGGAGCACATCAGACAAAACCTGTGATCCAGACTGCCACGTTTTTTAGTGTATCCTCTTTCTTTGATGTAAGAACAGATTACCTCACACATTTTATGGAACAGATTTCTTGATCATCTGTGCATGCCAAATAAGCAAGGAGGGTGGCAGAACCATCATCACAGTGCCTATTTCCATGCTTTGAGTACATTTCTAATGGAAGCGAATATTGACTAGTAGCTTCTTTCTATCAATATGAATTAGATCAATAATCTCAGGAAAACTGAGCAGTGATAAAGGAGATTCCAGCCTGTCAGATGGCTGTGATTGTTGTGACCTACTCCATGCTCCTGTTCTCCCACTCACCAGCCCTCTGAGGTATCATCACATGCTCCTTTTCCTGTCCATGCCCCATGCTCTGCACCAATTCTGTGCCACTCCATCCGCTGTTGCCCTATGCTGGAAGTGGGGAGTGGTTGCTTGGAATTTGCAGCTAATCCAGGAATTTGAGTTGCCTGTACTCGATGTAATCTTGATGTAGCTGATGGAGGCCACAAGGTTGTATGTGGTCTGAACTGGTACAGCACAAAAATATCTTATAAATGCATCTATATATGAGTTTGCTAAATTTTCTAGATCCCATTTCATGCAAGGATTTTGTGTGTATACCATATGTCATTTCTGTCATGATTGCTAGAGAATTGAAATACATAGATTGTACCTTCCCTCATGTAAAATTAATACCAGAGAGCACTTACTTTCTTTTAATTTTTTTCTAAGTATTTAGGAGGACTTTTAATAGACATGACTCTCAAAAAAAAGAGAAAACCTTTTATTTTACTCACTTTCCAAAGTAACCAAAGCTGTCAGTATGTGAATTGTACTTGTTTCTCTCTGAATATGCATGTACAATCTCCCTGAAAGAGATGATCCATCTTATGTTTCCAACCCCACTTTTAAATCACACTTTGCCTACTTGTTACTTGCCTACTTCTGTTACATGTTATTTCTAAATCTATTGTAAATGTTGTCTATAGAGTTGCAAAGAGAAATCCTTGCTCCTGGGGAATCAGTGGCAAAGTTCCTGCTGACTTACCTAAGGCAAGAATTTCCACCCAAGGGTTTTGATATGATTTGGTAATAGATTTGCAGATTTAATTTATGCATTGCATTTAAATACTTTTTGTTAGATAAATATGTTGTTGGTGTAAAGCTGTGTTTAAAGTAATAGTTATGTGTCTTTGTTTTTACTTTTGGTCTTTTAGTTTCCAGCGTGTTGTCGTTTTTGGTTTTGTTTTATTGCTTTTTCTTTAATTTTGCTTACCAGAGCCAAAGCCTTAGTAGAAGAACAACGCCTTTTGTTCCTAGGGTTCAGGTAAAGACTTCGTCTGCCTGACAGAAACTAAAGTTGTGGGTTTTTCTTTTGTTGGTTATGGAAAATGCATAGTAGGAAAACGTTACATTGTAGTCCGTTTTCCCATATTTTGAGTGTGTTGCTTTAAACCATATTAACAATTTTCATGTCATCTTGTGAGCAGCTTGTAAAATTCTGCATGGGGGTTAAAATATTAAATTAAAATTTAAAGAGACATCTGGTTTTTCTAAATGTCCAGTATTAAACTTACATGGGTTTCAATAGTGATGGTGACTATGCATCCCACATACAAAATTTGTGTATTGTTTAAGCAATAAATAATTTTGTACTTCAGTTTGTTGTATAAAGATGAATGTCTCTTTAAATCATTCATTATCATTTCTTATTTTTTTGCATTTTCCACATAATAGTAGCGCCTTGAGTAGAAGACGGGCAAAAAATTTGTACCTCGTTCAAATAAACAAATTTATTGTTTATGGAACTTGGTTCTTGCATTTTTAAGTACATCAATATAGACAAAACTTTACTTGAATAAAAAATGAATTCTCCCATTGTCTTACTGAATTTATTTAGCTTTGATATTCTGTTTGGGTACAAGTTGTTTGCCTTTTTTTTTCATTAGGAAGCTTCTAAGGTACTATAGATTTATGTAAAATAGGTTTTACTAGTATTTTACAATGCTTATCTTGCTTTGCTGCATGCTTTTCATTTTTTAAAACCAGAATATTATCTGATTTTCTTACAAAATATCTTTGTGGAGATGTTAATCTTTTGTGTGACAGCTTTATAAATGTTTTTCTTTGATTAATTGACCAAAATGTAAAGGATGATCTAAGTGATCAGAAAGAGATGACTGAATTTAATTATGAAATGGAAAAGAGATCATATATATATTTATAAAGGAATTCTAAATTAGACTGTAATTAAGACATCAAATATGACTCATATTTGATAAAGTACGCTTTTTTTCACAATGCACTATTCTCAAAAGTATTCCTTACAACTGTTTAAATATAGATTCAAAATTAAGAACTTCTAAAGAAAAAAGACTTTATAAAATAATGCCTTGATTGTATGATTTAAAGCTAATATATTATGTGATATTGACATAAACTGGCTTTGTATGAAAAATTTAAAACATCCTTTAACTTTATTAAGAAAGTTGGATTCTGCTCATGATAATGAAATAATAGAGGTACAATTGCAAGTTGTTAAGTAGTTCATAGAGGTAAATATTATATATGGCATAAGCAGTTTTTAATATTTATTTTCTTTTTATATATGTGCTAAATAAATTAAAAAAATATATGACAGTTGATTGTTCAATTTAAAAAGGAAATCTCTGCCTGAAACCTGCATGTTTCATGAAGTACTGTAATGTAGAAATAACATGTAGTAGTTCCTTATTTTAAATCCATTATACAAAATAAAGACATAGACATAAAAATTGTCTGTTCTACTTAGACTAATATCCTCTCGTGAAACAAACAAAAAAAAAATACTTTGCTCAAATGATTATAGTAGTTGAGAAAAGAAAAGAAGTGTCATGTTTGCTAGAAAATATCTAACAAGAGGTGAAAATGTTCAAGGCTTACTTGCTCACTCTTTGGATGCATTATTTTTTATATTGTAGGTAAGAATTCTCCTTAGCCCCAGTTTTGTCTACACAATCAGTGCCTGTGGAGTCCATGTGGACCTGTCTAACAGTTTTTTTGCAAAGCCTAGTAACAGTTAGTGCTAAACATAAGGATTTTTACAAGAGTTCCTGAAGAACTCAAAATTATGACCTTAGCGAAATCTTTACAATCTTTCTATTCTGAAACAAAAAGTCATCCATCTGCCCACTTTTAGTGGTGATAATAGATAGTATAAAAAGTTTAATGTTATATAGTTACCATGCAGGCTGCTGAAAGAAGAGGAATTCTCCAGTGATCTTCAAACAAGAGTATTAGGATCAGTCCTGCAGCAGTGCAGAACTCTGGTTACTTTTTTGGCATGACAAATTCACTAAATCAGAGCTCTGAGCTGCTGTTTATGGTTGTCAGGAAGTATACATTTCATTGTGGGCTGAGGTATAGCTGTGTATGAAGAAGTCCTTACAAGAATGAGAATCTCCAGACATTCTGCTTATACTTATTTGTTTCATGGCTCTCAACAGGAAATGCGTATCTTTATTCTTGCTTGCATCTTCTTTGCTTGTTAGTCTGAAACTGATCCTTTCTGGCAAAGCTCCTCTTCCACACTTCCCTCCATGACATTCCATTCATCTTCTAACTCACTGGATGATTTCATAGAATCATCATTATTCATTGGGAAGAAAAACACTCAGTTTCTTTCCTATCAAATGCCCACTGAGCTTTTACTAATTTTACAGTACTTGTAAAAGTACATCTTTATTTCCTGAATTTTTAGATTCGGTTTGGCATACCAGTAATTGTCGAACGTGCAGAGTGATGGTTTATGAATCTTTGTAGGGAAAAATCTGTTCTTAAAATTGTATTTTCTATGCAGTATCTCTTGTTTACTCGGCAAAGCATGCTTTTGAGCCAGAGTTGCCTCTGGGTTTTTTCTAACTTCAAAAATTTCAGCCATCCTTTTGGCTTTCATACAGATCAATATATTTGATCATGTATAAAAATATGTAAAAGGTAAAACCACTAAAAAAGAGATTTAAAAAAGAAACATAGATTATGGCAGCCTAAGTACTTCTATAATTTCCTGGCCTTTATATACAAGCTTTTCCATTTGACAGCCTTTTCTTGTAGTTGTTCAAGCATATTATACAGCAACTGAAGCAGAAAGCAATAGTAGTTTGATTTAGCAACCCTCAGTGCTCAGGATTTTTAGAGGTGTGTTTAACAACATTCAAAACTGGCCTCAGCTATGTCAAAGACATCACCACCTCAGGGAAGTTTCAGCATCTACATAAGCTTAAGTCCAATAAAAAGATTACTGCAAGTATTTTTAAAAATAAACTGAGATTTTTATTTTTCCAAACAACAGATCCCACTGGTATATCTTTGAGATTTTTATTTTTCCAAACAGATCCCACTAGTATATCTTTGGTTTCAGAATAATGTCAGAAAGAAAAGTAGTATATAATTTTAAAATAATAATAAACATAATAAACATCTATGTAGGTTACATGAAAAATTATAATGAGCAACAGAAGACAAAAACATGCCCGGCCAGCTGTCTCTAAAAGCCAGTGATGTTTGAGTAGGTTGTGGTGGTAAAAATCAGCTGTAGGGCAGATGGTCTCTCCCAGTGGCACAAGTTTTATCTCTTTTCATGAGATTCATGGAGTAACCCTTGTATAACAAAGACATAACTGTAACATAGGATTTAAAGCTTCAAATATTCTCTGTTTCTAAATCTAAATTATGACTGAGGATATGTTTTGCCTGTATGTCCTGTATATAAAACTACATTAGAATTGCATAGTTGAGCAAACAGTCAAACATTCATGAGACAGGAGTATAGAAAGTGCAACAATAATATTATCTAGAATTTCTTAACTGATTCCCTTATCAGGGGAAATAAGAGTAATTGTTCTTATACATGATTACTTATTTTCTAATTTTTAGTGAAGATGAAATCTAATAAAAAAAAATGAAATCTAGTAAGCTGAATTTATATCCTTAATTTATATGACTTATACTAACTTCAAATACATTTGAGGTGCCTTGAGGAAGAGCTTTCACTTATACAGTTGAAGGAAAGATCTAAGTACCTCAATATCTGCAGTGAGTGATTAACCCAAATAAAAGACACCTAAGCCCACTAACTCTATTTGAAACTAAGGCTGCTGCAGAGGTGAGTTGATTCTCCAGGGGAGGCACCTTCTACTGAGGCTGCAGAGGACCAATCTTACCCATTATTCTGTGATTCTGTGAAACATGAATACCAGCTAGATGTACTAAATACCTGCATCCTCACTTCTCAGAATGCAACACCAGCAGTCAGCTTTTATATACTGTTTGTGTAGGAAGCTTATTCCAGAAACAGGACACATGCTGTTTAAATGCTGTTTAAATACTGTTTAGACTGAAGAAGTTGAACCTGTGTATTAAAATAGTTCCTTTATCATCAAGCTGTGCCACATCCCATTCTTTGGAGTACGAAGTCTCATCTGAAGCTGAGATACCCTTTGGCTGGGAATAGAAGTGTGGTGTTATCAAAGCATGCTTCAGTTTAGCATAGCAGGTTCCAGACCTGATACCCTACATGAGTATTGCTCTTGTATTTGACCACTACTGGTTAAAAACCAGAAAGAATGAAACTGGGGTCAGACCCACATCTCTGTTTCCTTCAGTCCTCTGAGTGCAGAAGAGTTCCTGTTTCCTGCACTCTGTGGCAGTTATTCCTACCTGGCAGCCTGTCTGCAGCAGATGCATCCCACTGTGAATAACAGACCATCCCAGTGCACCTCGCTATCAGGATGCACTGAATTCACATCCTGCTGGCCTGAATGTAGGTCACGGCAGAAGCTTAATAAAGCATTAGGTGCATGTCTGGCTGCTGAAGGAGCCCAGGGAAGGAAGGTATATGAGCATGTGTGTGGCTAATTGGTCTCCAGGACTTCAGTGCAAAGTGGGAAAGTATTCAGGTTGCACCACTTTCTAAGTGAATCTTAGGTGCCTGCATCCTAAGTAACCTAGACAGACAAAATCCCATTCAAGACGGTTTTGTTCAAGTGTTAGTCTTGACATTAGCATCAGCCAGCATGACTTTTTATGTAGCTGATTTTATGTGTTGTTAGTTTAGCTTTTCCTTTCCTTCATTTAGATCAGGATTGCTTTGTTTGCTTTGTTGAAGTTTCTTAGATGTTCTAAACTTATTAAAGTGTGTGTGTGTGTGTGTGTGTGTGTGTGTGTGTGTGTGTAAAAAATCTTGCTACATTTTTGTTCATCCCAGTCTGTCTTTCAACATATTTTATGCCAGTTAGCATGGCTAGTTCTTTTGTCACCTCATAGCATTTCTCTCATTCATTCTACTTGTGCCCTTCTCTTAATCTCTGGTCCCTGACATTAGTGGTTCTATCCTTCCCGTGTTTCACCAAGAAGTATCTTGTCTATTTAACTTTCACTGTAATTATAAAGCAGCTTTTTATTTGTCCCTTCTTCCTTCCTTTAATCCCATAAGAATGCAATCCTATTCTCCCCTGTGTGGGCTTCTTTGACCATTCTCTCACAGTTTCTTCCTTTCCTCTCCTTGAATCCTAGTCAAACGACTGCTTGGGTTACAAGCACCTGTGCTGTGTATTGGAGTGCTAGCAGTGTGAATAGAGGAGAGAGAGAACTTTCTGGTCTTCATTCTGACTCCTGGCCTTTCCTGTAACAAGGCAAATTAAAGAGCATTAGAGGGAAAATATGCCCATTAAGTTCAAGTTTTTCCAATTTTTTATTTCAGAACATCAAGGGAAAAGTAGAAGGTACAAGTCAATGCGAATTTTGAGCTCTTGTTCCAAACTACAGTTGTTAAAGAATCTCAATGAAGTGGTGTCAGATGATTTCAGTTTCTGCTTAAGCAATTCTCTAAATATTTTGACTGAAATTTTCATGTAAAAATTCAGTCTGAAACAAATATATTTAGCTTGCCTATGAACACACAATTCTGGTTGTATTTTTGATGCCTATATCTAGATGATTTCACATTCATCAGTCACGGTTTGTGATAGTGTCTGTATCACAAATATATTTCATTCTCCTTAAGCAAGCATAATTTTCCACAACAAGCAAATGAAGAAGATTGTCTTCAGTGCTATTCCCCTTGAGATGTGGGGCAGACCAAGTCTGTCTTTTGCTTCAGGACTCCCAAGGAAACCTGCGGGTGGATACATTTAGTGCCAAGGAACATTTAAGTTGACTTGCACTTCAGAGGTCATTAAAACTGTACTGTTGGTACAAAGCTTTCTGCTTTTGATCTGTAGCTGGATGGAGATAGCTAGAAGTCCAGATAATTCTCAATGTAGAAAAAATACTGTCAAAGCCCCTAGCTTGCAAGAATGTAGGAATGACATCTAAAATTCACACACAGATGAGTAGCCACAGGGGCCTTTAGCTATTAGTACCATAAACCTTTAAAGTTTGTATCAGGGCCAATGATAGGGTAATGAAGGACAAATATCCCATTTTTAATATCCATTCCAATGGTTGTGACTACAGGAATTGCAAGATCTGAAGCAGTGATGGAAGAAGTACACTGCCACCAATAATTGAGTTGGCGTGTCTTAGTGTAATCTCACTTAGTGAATTATTAGGAATGGCAGAGAGCTAAATCAGCCTCTTCTTTATGGGTTAAAAGTCTTGAGAATTACATCAAGACCATTCTTTAGGAGACCAAAATATTGACGATGAGGAGCTATGATAGTAGATGAAAACCTTGTCTCTGAAATTAAGTGAGATGGTTTCCACGGAAAGTGCACCTTCCCCTCTTTATGTCTACCTTAGCTAGGGTATATTCATGCCTAAAGGTGTATTGTCTGGTTAGGTGTGCAGCTGGGCATTATCCTCTCTGATTCCCTTAAGTTCAGGCAGAGTCACTGTTTTCTTTAAATGTCCTAGTTTGTTCTGTCTCAGGCTGTCCTTATGAAGAGAGCCTCCTCAGTGAGCTGCAGCTAGTGACACTGCAGTGCTACAACCATGTAGTGGCTCCCTGGCCATTTGGAAGGCTTTGTTTTGCCCTAACTGCACCATTTTCCCCTTCTGCAGTGATTGCTCTGAAGTAGTTATATCCCTTTCTTGGCTGATGTACTTGCAGTCATAGAATTCAAACTGAAATAGCTAAATAGCAGCTTGTAATGACTGTAGTGAAAAAGGATAGCAAATCAAGCCTTAGACTGGTTAGTAACAATTACTGCAAATGAATAATAGTGTTTTTTTACCTTGTCACTGAGTTGGATTTGGAAGAGTGTTGGATTACTAAGCCTTCCTCTCAGTATTTATGGAGGACTTATATGATTTCAAATTAAGTGTATATATGTTAAAAAATATTAAGTGATGTGAAATTTTTATTGGTTTATCCCATAGTCTCTTTAGCACAACAGCAGATGAAAAATTATTAATTCATTGTGCATAAACTCCTCAGAGATGTATATATATGAATAACATACATTAGTAATGCTATACAAGGGAGAATACTATACAAGGGAGAATAATCCTAACCAGAGCACCATGTGAAATGCAATTAGTGTGAAGTAAGGTACTTATAGTACAGGGTTTTAAAAAAAGAGTAAGTCCTGGTTTATACTGAAGCTATTATAATATTAACTTATTTTTATTCTTTGTTATAAATGAAAAGTAGAATAAAATACTTTCTGTTTAAGTAACCAATATAAATAGAAGCTCATGAGCAAAATTATTTTAAAGAATTAATATACAACTTCATTGTAGAAATGAGTTCACTAATTAATATTTTCTTCCTACAGATAAAACTGTGGTATGACAAGGTTGGTCATCAGTTAATAGTGACCATACTGGGAGCGAAGGATCTTCCTTCAAGGGAAGATGGGAGGCCAAGGAATCCTTATGTTAAAATTTACTTTCTTCCAGACAGAAGGTAGGGTGAATGCAAAGACAAGGAATATCTGAATTAGTCTGATACTCAGGTGACATGCACAGCTGAGTTTGTCAGCCATACTTGCATGGAAAAAAGCTTACAGTGTTGAGCTCTTGTGTTGAACATGGTATGTAACATCAAGGTGTCTTTGAACACTAAGCATAAACTTGCTTTCCCTGGTTATATCATAAAATACTGAATAGAAAAGGAAAGGTAAACATATGTCTTTGCATGGGGATCTGTTATTTGCAAAGAATGTTATTAGTGTATTATAATGCCTTTATTTCCTATGCCAGTTATTCTTCTCTGGATCAAAGAAGATGCTACACGGTCAGGTTGATAAATTTCTGGACTGATGAGTGCAGCAGTTTGGTTTACCCCACCATTATATAATAGAGCAGTAACAGGTTTGGCATCTGAAACCCACCCATTTTTGTTCACAGTATAAGTGAATTAAGGCTGAAGGGGACTCAGCTCAGTGTTCCCATTTGCACTTTGAAAACTTTCCCTAAAGCACAGGACTCATGTTAATCTGGATGGTATCATATATGCGATTAGGAAAAATTAAACTGTGGTAGGACCCCTATTCCTAGCTCCTTCACTTCTTAGTCCATGATTTTCTGTGTTTAAATTTAGGTGTTGGGAAGAACAGCAGAAGAGATAGTGTGTTTTCCAGTTTATTTATTTTTTTTTAATTCATGTTTCCTCAAATTGTGTCAGTAGGGGAACATGTTTACCTTTATTTTATAATGTACCAACCAAATAATTCAAAGCTTTAATATCACTCAAAATAATAGATCAGTGGATTGCTGAATCTGTAGAACAGAATGTAACTTTTATTTTTACTTCCTTTGCTTTTCCCAGTAGCTAAACTGGGAAGATGCTAGCTATCTCCATTACCATTTGGCTTCAGCAGGAATTAAAGCTATTTTGTGTTTTGGAAGACTTTTCCAAGTTGCTTTTCCACTTTCATTGTATACCATATGTTGACAAGCAAATTTTCTGTGACTACCTAATTTGCTGTGTCATTGATGATTAAAAGGTTTTGGATAGATTTTCTCAGGCTCACCAGTATTTGAACAGTTGGTTTAGATCCCTGGTTTATTCAAACTGCTGCAGTGTGTTTCTAGCTGCTGAAGCTGTGCTAAACTGAGAATCAGGTCTGCTTCAATTATCTTACCTTCTTTTTCAATAGTGATGAGTAATTAATAGGTTAAAAATGTGTGTTCACAATGTTTTGCAATGCAAATTGTGATAACTAAAAATATATTAACATTAAATTTTATTAATCTATAATTTTTTCCCATTTATGAGAAGTATTCAGAATTTTTCTTTGGTTGTTTTATGTGTTTATGATCAGCAATTTATCTTAAAGAATTGTGGGATTTTTTCTGATGTGGAAACTCATTTTTCTTTCCTTAGATTTAAAAGCTAAGTAAGCAAGAGTATATTTCTTGTGTAGTAGAAAGAAACATGCTGGAGGTAAAATACACTTAAGTAAGTCAAGCATTTAATTAGATGAAGATGCTGAATTCTCTTTGAATTAAGAAATTTAATTGAAAAATGTTGTACAGTATAACTTATTTCAGTTCCAAGGGTAAACAAACCTTTATTATGCTAGAAATAATTTATGTTTCTTTTTAACAGTGTGTCTAAAAATATTTTTACTTAGGTAATTTTTTTATACAACTTCCAAGTAATAGTTCACAAATACAATGACTTTATTACAATTGCAAGTATTAACGAATGGACTGCATCTGCATTGCCTATTAAAAAATCCTTATAAATTAGTATGGCAGCTGCATTATGCAGCAATCAGCAGGTTTAAAATAAGCATTGTTATGAGGACTCTTGTCAGTATTCTCAGTAGGAGGAGTGTGGGTGTTTTCCAGTGAAAATTGTTTCAATCAGAAAATATTCATTCTTTCAAGCAGAAATATTCTGCAAAAACATTGCTTTCAACAACGCCCTGGAGCCAGAGCCAAGGCTGCCAGGGTATCCCTGCCTGGAGACCTCACCTCGCAGTGGAGGTGCACCTTCAGCCTGGGTGATTCATTGGAGTGACCAGAGGATTTGGGAAGCTGTTTTGAGAGTGCTCTTTGTTCCAGTGTTGCTGGAAAAGAACACGTAACTCATTTTTGGGGCTTTTGGTTTCCCAGGTGGATAAGGAGCCCTTAGCCAGGGAAACCCTGCACTGCCCCAGCTCCCTGACCATTCCTTCGTGTGAGCCAGCTGCTCCTTCCTGCTCTGCAGTTGGAAGGAGCCGCTGTAGGACTGGAGCTTGAGTGAACCAGCTGGATCATTTTTTGAAATGCCAGTGTTTGCTATGCCCCGTGTTGTCTGTAGAGATGTTCTATTGTCAGACTTTGCCTTGTGGAAATCTCATTTATGGAAGTACATTTTACTTTATAAAATGCTGCTTGCAAAATAAAAGAGAATACACCCAAAATCATAATAAAACATTTGTGGGTTTTGGGAAACATCTTAAAATTGGAATTGGCACATAAACTTGAAATTACCTAACCTTAGTTTTTAATATGAACTTATGAATTATCCTCAGTATATGCACTGACCATTATAATAAAGGAAAATTTGTGATGTAGACTGTAGTACCCATGATCCTGCAAACTGAATGCTGATTTAAGATTTCCTATTTTCCATTATATACTTAATGCAGTTTAATGGTGTTTTGAACCTATTTAATATTTAACTGTTTTTTTCAGTGATAAAAATAAAAGAAGAACAAAAACAGTAAAGAAAACATTGGAACCTAAGTGGAATCAGACATTTATTTATTCTCCAGTTCATCGGAGAGAGTTTAGAGAACGAATGTTGGAAATCACTCTTTGGGACCAAGCACGAGTTCGAGAGGAAGAAAGTGAATTTTTAGGAGAGGTATACAAGTATTGATAGTTGCTATAGAAATACAGTTGCTCTGTATTTCTCAGTTGTGTAGATACTTATTTTTGAAAAAATTACTAACTGTGCAAATCAAAGCTGGTTTTATTGTTTTATTTTTTCTTTCACTTAGTAGTAAACAAACAGTGATCTCACACATATCATATAATCCTGATATGAGATTCTTTCTGTGTTTTTTCTGTTTTAGTAACAGCATGAATGTGGTTTCTTAATTTCTAATTGTTCATTAAAATCCGTATTATCCATAGTCATATTTTACTAAAACTTTGGAAGGTTGCTCGTTTACTTATTTGAAAGCTGTAAAGGCTCTCATAAGGTAATAAGGGTTTTGTGAATGATATTTGGGTATATTTAGTGTCCTAAAAGGCACAGAAGATTCTTTCGTATTAAAGCAAGGTTTTTATATAACTTCAGACAAAATCCTTAGCAGTGTAAGAATAATAGAATAACATTTATATCTTGTTGTAGTGCAATATCTATTTTAAAATATTCTGTCATGCAATGCTTTCCTACTTTTAACCATTCTTTCTTTTTTAGATTCTTATTGAGTTAGAGACAGCATTACTAGATGATGAACCCCACTGGTACAAACTTCAAACACATGATGTCTCTTCATTGCCACTTCCCCATCCCTCACCATATTTGCCACGCAGACAGCTCCATGGAGAGAGTCCCACACGGAGGTTACAAAGTAGGTTATTATTAGTTTTTCACACTGTGTATAGTTCATTTGAATTAATGCAGAATAAAATCTATTAAATTCTTGCAAATGGAAAGCTGACAGAATTTTTATGTTAATTTGTAGCTGTTATGTATTAGATCATTGTGCTTACTGATGAGAGTCTGACATGCTACAAATGGTATCAACCACTGTGCATTGCACCATTTTTTTCTTATAAGACAACTCAGCTTTAGAAAATTATCTTGCTTTTTGCCATGTGCTCTTTTTATCATGAAGCTCTTTCTTTTGTATTATGTTCATAATTTCATTGTTTAAGCAAAAGTAGATTTGCAGGATCTCTCTCTTAAAGTAACCTATATATAACATCATATGTAGATAAATTAATACCATGGCCTGTTGTCTTGCTTTGATATTATTTTATGTGTTTAGATTCACAAATGGAATTTCTTTAAAAATTCTACTTTGTAGAGTTTGTTATACTTGGTCCATAGTAGTTATCAGTAGATTTTTTGAAACTAGAGTATATAAAATATGGCAATAAAAATAGATAGATAAAAGAATAAGACAGTAAAAGGGAAAAATCTGCTTCTTTAATACTTCATGGTTTCTCCAGTTTAACTGTTTGATACTGCCAGTGATTTAAATCTCTTCTTCACAGAATAAACTTTAAAAATACATTTGGCAGTTATTTTAAAAAAATCCAACAAACCAAATCAACCAACCAAATTAATAAAGCACCCAAAAGACCCACCACCACCACAAAAATCCAACAAAACAAAACAAAAACCCCAAAACAAACAGAAAAACCCTAAAACCACAACAACCCCAATGCAATTTTTAATATTTACTTGGAGTTTCTTTGAGTCATTGTATGTGAGTGTGTGTGTATGTTTCACACAAACTCACAGAAACATGTGTGTAGTCATGAAAACAAGCTTGGATATTTCATGTGTGCTATGTAGAGTCTTTATTGCATCACCCATTATATACAAGTGTTGCAAGCAGTTGATCTGTTTTGCTTCTGTGCACTTGATGGTGAGAAGGATTAAAATGCTCCATATCATAATATTCTGAGATAGACACACTGTCAGAGACTTACACTGCATAGCCTTGAAGTTGTAGGATTATGCTTGTCCCCAAAAGGATAAAATAAGTGATAGTTAAGAGGTAAGGAGTTCTATTGCAATTCAATCCTTTTCAGTCTTCTCATATGCCATGACTGTTATTTAACTAAAGTTTTTAAATTATACTTCTTATACGGTCTGTGCCATCTTTTAACACATTTTAAGTTTCCATCTACAACTATTTTTACAGACCAGTTGGACTCTTTGTATGTGAAGTTATTGAAATTCTGGTTTTCAGGAAATATTCAGTCCTGCAAACAAATGCTGTTTGTTTATCAGAATTTTTGTCTGTGCAATAAATAACTGTCATTAAGAATGAATTTAGGATTTATTTTTTAACAAATTTTAGTGATGTTTGAGTTAAGATCTATTGGATGATATTGACTCAAAATTTGAAAGACACTCAGGTTTTTAATATATTAATCTATGTACTAATAAATAATAAAAAAAAACCTAATAAATACTAATACTCATAATGTGGTCAACTGAACAATTGTACATGCTTGTCTGTAAATATAGAGGAAAGGACTTAGCAAAACATCTGTTTTGGTGAAATACTAACATTTGGTATAGAAGTTCTGCTTTTCAATGAAGATGGTTAACCTGACTGTTCCCAGAGCACTAGTTTATCAGCCTCTGGTTTTAAAAACTTCAATCAAATAAGCAATTTCAGATGTTCACTATTATTGCTGGAGAATTCAGATGTTCTACACTAAATTATCCTATTTCCTTTTGTACAGAGATAGACACCCGATAATGAAGGATTTTCTCTAGTGGCCTAGGAATATATTCATGTCTTGAATCTTTGTGTATCATAAATAATTTTCAGTTTAAACAGAAAGTTTTAAATGTACAGAACAAGGTATGCTAGAATTAAAACCCTTGCTTTCTGGGTCTGAAAAAGTATACAATTGGAAATTTAGCATCTGATCACAGCTCAGCTATGGCAGCCGAATCCGTTTAGCAGTGGGAAAATACAATTTTTCTTTTATTGCTGTCACTCCTCTGAAATGAAAATAAAAGTACTTCTTGGTGTCCAAAGAGGTTGTGCAATGTCCTACTGAGAGGTCCAGTACTCAACTGAAGAAGGCTGTAAACAATGCAGTGTAAGTTGGCCAGGCCTGAGACAGGCATTGCACCAGATGGGCTCCAAAAATGCTCTTCCCAATCTAAATGTCATCACCAGGGACTGGTGAAGGGCAGACAGCACCTCTTTAGCCTTTTTGCCTTCACTAAGTAAAATATTTATACTATATTAATAATACATAGAAGTCTAGGATTTTTACCTTTTTTGAGGTGTCAAAAGAGTATGAAGTCAATATATTAGTTTCTTGTGACTGAAGACGTTTTTGTATCTCTCAATAACATTCTTGTATATGGTGAAACAGATGTTATGCAGCAGGACATTTTGACAATGTGAAGAAAATCTCTAGAACAAGGCACATCTAGCATGTTTGTCAATGCTTTTCAAAGCATTTTTTAGAACATGTACCGGGCTGTTATTAAGCAGGCTGATTTCAATTTTTTGGGGGTGCATAGTCTGAGCAGTTCAGTCCTCCTACCTTTTGTTCTTTTCTGCATTGCCTCTATGTATAGAATTGGTGATGAAAGAATTTATTGAATACCCCCAAAAATTGTTAGTGTGAGAGATATTTTGAATTACAAGGTTGTTTTTTGTTTGTATAAATACGCATTACACTCCTAAGCTTTTTTATCTTTATGATTGTCGAGTAGGGATAAACATATTTATTTGAAGACAATACTTAAGTGTTACTCTCTAAAGGTAGTTTAAAAGAACCACCTACACTTACCACTTCTATTCTCTTTTTAATATCACTGGATTGCAGTGTTCCTGAAGAAGAGCAGACTGTCAGCCCTGAGGAGTGAAGTTGTATTTACAGATTGCCAGTAGCAAAGTGCAAGCTTCCCACAGAGCCCCATATGCTGGTTTTTTAGGAGCCAGCTTTCAGAGACAGTGGCTTATTTTCTACATATATTTATCTCTCAATACCTTTGAGTGGGCAGTGTGTTGTGGTACAGACTGATCTAAGTCAGCTGTCCACCTTCTCTTTCCCAGTCCTCTGATCCATACATTCCTTTAACTTCCTAATGGTAAAGAATCATTCCCATACTTTCTCCTTTGTGTTTTTTGACAGACATCTACTTAGAAACTGGAACTAATATAGAACATAAGATTATGACTTACTAGCTCTTTCAGCTAATTATATTTGAGATTTTCATAACCTGATCCAATGAGTATATTTTAAGCTTTTTCTTATGAGAAATGTGGGGTAATGGTTAGGTCTATTTTACTTATTGTGTTCAACTTTCAAAGTGAGTTTTTAAAATTACTTCATTTTCTCTAACATTTACCATAAAATCAGCCATACACCCAGAATTCCAGACAACATTAATTAGAATTACAGCCAAACTGAAGTTCTTTTTATATTGCCTCTGAAAAAGATTGTAACCAGAAAATTAAAAATAATTTTAGAGAATATTTAGGAATACCCATTTTTGGCAGGCTATTTTTATATCTCACATTAGCTAAGAATCTTATTGGAGAATACAAACAAAACTGAATGTGCTTTGGGTGCTGTGTCCCTGGTTATTAGGATGTGTAAGTTATTGTTGGTATTTCTATTTGCTGATAAATGATACAGAAATCAAACAAGGTTTATACCATGGGATTGGATTGTGTGTCTAAAGTTAGTTCCTCCCCATGAGCCCAGAATAGAGATAGAAATCAAATTGGATATGATGCATTCTTTTTCCATCTTTTACAGTTATATCCATGTAATGTGAGCATTTGTGTAGTGTGAGCTGATGTTGTTAAATTGAGAAAGAATATGGGGTTATTTTTTGTTTTGGAGAACAACAATATTTTAGTTTTATATTGATGCTGAATTTGTTTAGAAGCAGATTTTTTTTACTCCAAGTTTTAAGACTTTCCCAAATACTTAGGATTGAAAAGTAACTGACACTAGTTTTCTAAGCCAGATTTTGCAGCTTTAAAATGAAGCTGTCTGAATTATTGATCTGCAGCCCACAGAGAGTGCAATGTGCAGTGTAAGTAACAGCTAAGTGAGCAAATAAGAAGAAATGTTAATATAGCAATAAACCAGATATTTTCAGGTCTCTTGCTGCAGCATAGGTCTGTACAGCAGCAGGTCTCTACAGCTTTTGAATGCCATGAGAATTCACAATATGAATAAAAAAATTATATTTTGAGCATCCTCAGTAATGGAGAAGTAATAAATGTATGGGAGATAAATTCTGCTGAGAACAAGATATCAAAGATTTTAGAAATTACAGTGTTTGGAAACCAAATATAGAAGTCAAAAATGGGGTTTTTTCCCAGGATCAGAAGACCAGAAAAAACCAATCAAAATTAAAAGAAATGTAAATAGTCTTTGGAGTAGTTTTCTTGTAAATGGAATTCCATCACTTTTAGAATGAAATTCATCAATGACTCCATTCATTGAATTTCATGATTTACCAGGTCCTTAAAAATCTGGAGGGAGAGAAATTACAGTAATGAGAATTTAAACTGTTGGGGCAAAATTTGGCTACGGTTGCAATCTAAAAAAATTTGCATATGTTGTGCAAAAAGCTATATATATCTTTATTTTTTTTTCAAATTTTATTCATTCTTTGGATGGGAATAAAGAAAATCTATAATGTGTAAACAAAATGTTTTGAGTAACATGAAAAATTTTGTCATCTTTTCAGTTTTTTACTTTGTACATTTTTCCATTAGACTGTATTTTCTGCAGCTATGTTGAGACCTTAACATGATAAAAATTATTAAATCTGACTAGAAAAAATCAAACTGCTAGACTGAATTAAAAAATAGATAATCCCATTACTTATTAAGTTTTGAAAAACATTTTCAGATGAACTTGTAATTGCTGAATGCTGACAATTTTTAGTTTTTGAACATTCTGTGGCTCTACCATCTGATCAAGGAGGAATGTCATAACTGTTAACTTAATCCCCCTCTTCCATTATTTAAATGGTAAAGCTATCAAGTCTATATTGTTGAACATCAAGATATACATTTTGTAGTACCAAAATCATTAAAGTTTAACAATAATTAATTACAAATGTATCTGAAACTTTAATCTGTGAAATATAAGCCCCTGTGAAATGATGGCCAATGAAAATTATTCACTTCCTTGAGCTCTGTAGAGGCTCACTTTACTGCAGGATCAGGGTCTTGCTGTCTCAGCAATTTCCTGTTAGTTTGTTGTGAGTTGGGGAAGTCAGCACGATAATTTTCAATGAATGTCACTGAACCTGACTTCAGGAAATGATAATAATGCTGCTGACTAGTAGGTAAGTGAATTGTACTTAATGGACACACGTGTCAGAGACTTTTTTTCCAAATTATAATATGGAGCATTTTATGGTCAGTGGTACAGGCCATGATTAATTTATTACATGAATTTTACCCTAGAGAGACAAAATGACAATTAATTTTCTCTTTCATGCTTCTTCCTTAGTTTTTTCTCTTTCTTTGAATGGAGCACAAACCTTAAGCATGTTATCTTTTTTTGCATGCATTGATATTTTATTCACAGAATATGGATATATATACCACTATTGTATTTATTGTACATCTATTATTTATTTATTATATTTTATTGTACATCTATGGTTTATTAAATACTTTAAATAAAAGGTATTTAACATGATACAGGGATGTCTAAAAAGGCCTTAAAATGTCAAAATATTTTTCTTTTTCTAATAAAAGAAACTCATTTAGGATATTAATTTACTAAATTGTAATTAAACTATAAAAATACCTAAAAACCTGTTTTGAAGCAGTTTAAGAGAATTACTTCATTTCCCTGATACTTGATAAAATCATGTTAATAAATTACTCTTCTGTTGTTTAATTAAGTTAGTGAAGTTTTCAGATGGTTTTAATACTATTCTGACTTCTTCCTTTCTGTGCTGTGACCATGTAGAAACAAATATTGCTTTCCTAGTCCTCAATCTCATTATAATCTCACTAATTTTATATTCTTGTGCTCTTCAAGAAGCTCTATGCTTTTGAAGATCTATCCAGCAGTTAAATTCAGAAAGCCCATGAGTTTTAACTGCATGAATAATTTCTAGCCTGTGTTAATAGATTTTTTTTGGTGGGCATGTGGCATGCTTCCACCTTTGGTGTTCAGGTAACACCTGTAAACTAGGCCAAGTCTCTAAACTGCATTTTTCATAATTTTGTAGCCAAATAATTGTCATTTTTAATGAAGTTCATAACCAGAAGAGATTAGTATTAAGGAATACAAATATTAGAGAAGTTACACAATAAATCACATCTAAAAGGTTGTAAGTGATGCTGAAAAAGCCCCTATAATTCACTTTGAAATTAAATTGCTTAATGGAATTCTGGGTCTGAGACATAAAAATGTATTATATTTATCAAGAAACCAAAGTTGAAAATATAGAGGGCTAGAAATTGTTAGCAGTAGGTGAATTAGTAATATGATCCATATATTCAAATAGTTAGTACCTGGATGTCAGAAAAAGTGTGACTTGCCAGAAGGCACTTAGTCATCCAGTGAATCCATTAACAGCACCATTTGGCAAGAAATGGAAATTTTCTCTAACACTGTCATATCATATCATCTGAGGTGCATCATTTACTTACAGACTGGCACTCTTTTCTGTTTAATACAGTGTCTGTGAGCTTTTCAACTACAAGGAATAAAAATATTCACAAAATCTTGCTAATGACCAGGTATTACTAATGTTATTCTGGCTTCCTGCCTTCTTTGTATTATGACATCTTTTGGAAGTCACATTTCAAAATCCATGAATGCAATCAACATTTGCTGTTTCCAGAATTGTCCAGATATCCACATCCTATTCTTTGGTTCAGTTTAGAAAACTTGGTATGATTGTTTGGAAAGCTAAAACGCATAAATCAGTCAGGCTTAAGGAATGCAAACAATAAATCAGGTATTGCAAGATTTTAATCATTGAGCTCATTCTAAAATTCAGTGGTAACAACAGTACGTAATTAAGGTTCTCATGTATGTACATGTTTGCCAGGTCAAGACCTAGCAGGAGGGAGAAGATTGGCACATCATTTCAGAGTCTGTTAAATTTAAAGTAGGATTGAAAACTACATCTTGGGAAAGTTCTGCTAGTGCTGCAGTGCCAACAGAAGCGTGCAATATTTTTAAGGGTAGCAGCTCAGATTGTATGCCTAGAAGAATATACAATTTGCCCTTAAAAAGTTAAACACTGATAGCAAAATATGCAACTGTCTTTCAAAATTGGAAATGACTGAAATTGCTGTACTAGATCTCTGTGGTTGCTGATCCAGAAGTGATTGGAATTTTTGTGGTTTAATTTCTCTTAGCTGCTTGAGTTTTATAATTTTGAAGGAGTCTGGCCTACACTATCAAATTTTTCCGTCTCTGGCAGCAATTATAAAAAAGTTTAAGGTTCTAATCATCCCTGTTACATGTAATAGTTCATGTATTTTTCCCTGACGCTACTTCATTTCAATATTTTTTTTCCAGATAAAGGCTTATATTCATATAATTCAGGTAAATTTTCAGCATGCCAGAAATGCTAATTGCTTCCATATATGTGCAAAATTTAATTTGATATTTTATTGGTGTGCTTTTGCTACCTATTGTGCAGATACTAAATTGCATAAAAGTTCTTTGGCTTTTCTTGTCTGCTTTTCAGTAATAAGTCATTTGTTGGCTTTCTTTCTCTATTCTTAATGTCTCAGTATTGGTATTGGAGCAATGTTGTAACACCATACTTGCTTTGCTTGCCTTTATTTTAGGTAGAGCTATGGTAGGAAAACTGTAGTGAGCTTTATTAACTATACTAGGAAAATGCTATCTAGCTTTAACTGGATTTAAAGGAATGCTATTATATTACAGCTGTTTGAGAACTAGTGTAAGTATTTTTAAAATACAGACATGGGATAAGTGAAGTACTGGCAAAATCAGTATTTACACTGATATATATTTTTACAGTTTCTTGTTGATATAAATCCTCATTACAAATCCAGCTCCATCTGAGGAGTTTGCTTTAATTAAATATAAGTAAATTAATAACATTCAGTTTTTACCAACTTAAATTTTGTAGTGCATTTCATTTGGGACATTTTGCAGTTTTTGCAGTTTTAATTATTGGAATCTCTTTGAGAATTGGTTCAACTAATTATCTTTTAGTTATGTTTAAAAAATGACACATTGTTATGAAAATAGATCCATACCATGATGGAGAGAAACAAAACCCCCTTAGGGCAGAACTTTCTTGAGAAAAGTACTAATAAAATCCATTTTCCATTACATCTAATGTCAGTCTCCCATATTTCTTCTACTCCTTTCTCTCTTGAAATAATCCCACATTCTTCTCATGTTTTACAATATCTTCACAAGCGGAGAGACCAAGTTTGGTGTGGCATCTGTGGGCCTGCATACACATGGATTAGCTGCAAATTTTAGCTGGATAAAGTTTCTTTTTGATTAAGGACTTCCAATTTGTATCTCTCTCTTCTATCAAGAAGTGGTATATCTCTCTTTTATCTTTCTCATCTCTCCTATTCTGAGCATTTTCAAAGACCTGTAGGAACTTAATAGAATTTGTTATTTATACTCCTCCTCTGTCAGTGTAGCTGTAGTTGGTTGAAAGCCTCTAAACCCCACTATGATGTGCAGGATGATAAAGTGACAGACTGACATGGAGACAGCAGAACTGCATGAGAAATTAGCTCACACTAAGGACCCTTGGGCACAGGCAGGATGAATATCAGAGAGCAAATTCTTAAAACAGTTGTTATGAGACTCTTTTGGGGGTGCTTATATGTCAGCTCTGAATACAGAAGAAATACAGGCAATGCTAAGTGACTTTAAGTGGTTGTGGAGGCCTTCTGTGAGCTCCAGGGAAGGAGCTGCAAGCATGCTTCACTACCCTTGGTTGCCCCAGGGAGTCCACAAAACCTTGTAAAAGCTTCCTGCATTGTAAGGGACAGGATTGGAAGCCTGGTCTGCTTCCTTTTTCTTTTTTTTTTTTTTTTTTTTTTTTTCTTTCTCCACAAGAAAAGCACAGAATTCCTGAGCCATAAATTTGGCACTTTCTTCTCTACTTAGGCTGATGCACACTAATTTTATTTCTCATTCTATCACCTGTCCTAGTTCATTTTGATAACTTTGTTGGCTGGTCATATGCACTTTAGTAGAGCTTTGAACCTCCTATGTTAGTCTTCTCTTGAGGTCTATCAGAAATGTCTGTGGGGAAAGTATTAAGCACAGAAGGTATTTTGTATTATTTCCTCTGCATATTAATAAAATGATGAAGAAAAGCTGTGTGCCAACTTCTGTTGTCGTATGGAAGGCAGAAGGTTTTTTGGAACCCTCCACAGATTTTGGTTGCTTTGTAAGTAAATATTTTTATTTGCATATTGTTTCAATCATCTGGGAGAGTTCCAATTATTTAGAATGTTGTTATGGAGGGAAATGTGATTCTGGTGAAATAGAATCGAATATTCCAGCTGGCAGGGACCTACCACAATCTTCTAGTCCAAGAGCCCAACCATTCAGTGCTGACCAAAAGCTAAATATGTTATTAAATACATCGTCCAAACGCTTTTTAAGCATGGGCAGGTTTGGGAAAACCAAAGAATATTCTGTAAACATTTTTTAAATTGTCCCCATATTATTTTTATTTAGAAGTTGTTAAAGTTTTCCATGGCCACTAACACTGCATCCCATGAAAAATTTACAAAAAAATAACTATTTTATTAATGAAATTGAATGAAACACCTCATTTTTCTCTTTACATTACTTCATCCCTGAGGATGAAAAATGGAAATGTTTTATACTAAGAAACTACTGTATTATAAATTCCTTTTCCATGTAATAGAAAGTAAAAATGCAAATAGTAAGAAATTAAATAGAAAGTATTTGCTAAATTGAAATAGAAAATAAAAGTCCGAATGGTTTTTAGGTGACAGGATTTGTCCCCACCCCTGAAAGTGCTGTGAACTTCCAGTTCTGCTGTGCACGTGTTCTCACAGAGGTGTCATGAGAACAGCTGGGTGAGGTGTTAGCCTGAGCAGCGTTGCAGGGAAGGAGTAGAGAGGTGTGGAAGGGCAGGAGGATGCTGAACTTTGGCAAGTTCTGATGGGGAGGTTTTCCAGTGTCCCCAATATCAACTCTCCCCTGAAAAGTTTTATTGATAGCTTAAGGCTGTTAAACCCAAACTTGCTAAATGGAATAAAAAAAAAAATTTGATTTCCCTGGGGCTATGCTGAATTAAGGCATTTTTTGAGGGTTATAGTAGCATGGGATCTATTTTGCCTTCAGTCCATAACTGTAATAATTCTTAATCTGGGTGGAAGGGATTTGAAAGTCTGTATTTACCATCTATTACTACTGGATTATCAGACAAAAGGTGAATAATACCTCCAAAATACATTTATAAATAAACTACGTTCTCGTGGAATGGCATCAAAGAAAAAGTTAACTACAGGCAAACCATTGGCACCAATGCATTCATTTAATGTATACAGTATCCTGGAATATAAGATTTTTACTGAATTCTGAATTTATGTAAGAATGGACTTAAACTCCTTGCTCTTGATTTTTGGACCATATTTTATAATGTATATGTCAAAGAGTTTAAGGTATTAACTAAATACTAAGTAACAGTTTCATTCACAATATTAATTTGCAATAATTTGTAAGAGCCTTCAAGTGTCCCATTTCACTTATAAGACATGAATTGTTCTTTCTCTTTTTTGTAATCAGTGGTCCAAATTACTTAATGAAGTACTACTTTGAAAAGACATGGCTAAGGTGCGACACATGTCTAAATCTTCACATTTACATTGTCAATAGATTAAAAAGAAAAGTACCATCTAAAATGAATATAAAGCAGATGAAATTACTCTTGTAAAAACTCCAAGAAATATTAAACTAATCTGCTAGCAATTATACTGACATTACAAATACTTGCTCCAATAAAAGGCTTTGACCTGTGTACTTTCTAGTTTGTTCCATTTCTGAAGTTAATGGAAGAAGTTTTAAATATGTATAATCTTGATTTCTTTGCAGAAATTATGTATTCCAGGCAGTAGTTCTTGACATTTCGCATTTAATTGACATAGCATTGTTTTCCTTTCCCCTTCCTGAAAAAATTGATTGCCAAAGATAAGACCAAGTCATTAATTCTGATTTAAATTTCTTCTGACATCTTTACTATCATTTAAATTTACATTTGTTAGAAAATGAAAAATATTACTTAAACACTGTTTTTTTTCAATAGGTTTAAGTCTGTAAAACCAGACTTCGCTTAAGTCTGCTTAAAGTTCTGGTTAGCTCTTGTTAAAGCCAGCTCTTAGTTAGAGCTGACTTGTAGCTGCTTGAGGAGATAGAATGGATGATCTGAGCAGAACAAGTTTCATATCTCATTTTACAGATCAAGATTTCATATTTAAGGATGTCAAGTGTTACAAGAGACTCTCCTCTTTTCAGTGGCAAAGACAGTTTGAGAAATCTCTGAAATCTGATTCTTCCCTTGCTTTTACTCTTTTTCTACTCCCATCCTTTGGGCAGGTCTCAATCCTGGCCCATTCACTTTCTCTTGCACTGGCTCTTCCCTGAAGCTCGGATCTCTAGATCCTGGAAGATGATGTGGAGCTGAGGTATTAGGAGATTCTGGAACAGGTGGATTTGTCTTGAGAAGACAGAGAGAGAGAAAGAGAGAGAGAACCCTGTCATTTATGCCTGTGCTCTGTTGAAGTTAATCTCGCTTTTCTGCCAGATGTATCCTGTGACTACAACAATATATAATTTTAGCTACACAGCTGGGAAGTGTAGAGCCCACTGTGACAACAGCTGACTATTTTCATCCTCAAAGATGCAAATATCTCCTCCTGAATACAGAATATAATATTCTAAAAATATGTTAAAGCAGATGCACTTAGCTGTAAATATAAACATAAATAAAAAGCAACCTCAGTTGTAATTAATTAGATTCATTCATAAGAATGAATTCGTTGATGAGTAAATGACATCTATTCAAATCATAGTTGATTCAGCCTTTTCACATCTTTCGTGATGAAAACCTTTCCAAGCAGCCACGTGATGAGCATCAGCAAACTCAATTGCCCCCATCTTCCCATGCCACAATCCCCTCTCTGATAGGGCCTGAGGAACATTAATTGCAGCCACAGACCCACTGCAAGATCAGTGTCAGGGCTACCCAAAGACAGAATCCCACTGCTTTGCACTCCCTTTGGGGGCTTCTGCCTTCAGGTCCCAGCCACAGCCCAGCCAGCTAGTAGGGCTCTCTTGCTTAGTGCTTGGTCACAAATATTGTCCTCTCTTAATGGACCTGCATTTGAATCAGTGGCTAAGAGGAAAGGAGACTAATCCTTCTTGCTCACTGGCACTTGTATCACTACACCATTAGAGGCTTCTCCTGAAAATGGCAACAGGGACAGCACCACAGGTGGAATGGATGCTTTCTTTGGGAAAAAAGAGAGAGTGGGTCTTTGTAATACTATACTTAAGAAGAAAATCAGAGGAGGTTGAAACCTTTTCCTTAACTTCAGCCCTCATCTTCTAGGTTTTCTTGAGTGCTAATCGTCAACACTTTCTTGTATTTTTTTGTTTTAGAGAAAGACTACTTGTTGTTTCTTGTACCCTACCCATTGTAGCATGGCTATTTCTAAAATTTTATAATAAATTGAGCTTCTATATGAGAATTGCATGACTTCCACTGAACTAATTTTAATTTCCTATTTGTGAACCTTTAGTTCAATTAAATAAAGACAATTAAAATTTCTTTACTGAAATTGCATAATGGATTGGCAGGCTAAATTGTTTTCTAAGAATTAGTACGTATCATACTTGCACCATTTTTTAGTTGAATAAATTTTAAACTGAGAAATTTTTATCCTCAAAGAAATAGTCTGCAGTCTAGATTACAAATTCATACACCCCACATCTTAATTGCTGCAGTGACTTCTGACTTCTCATATAAGGCACAGAAGAAATTGAAAATATACAAACAAATACAGCAGGAACAATCAGAAATATTCAAAGGTTCACATGTATGAAGGAATCAAAGAATGATATTTCAGCTCAAAAAAATGCAAACCAAAGAGATAACTATAGCAGAAAACAGAATGCTGATTCATGTTTCTCAGAACACAAAAGCTTGGAGAGCATTGGAAATGAGATAATGGAAATAAAATGTAGGGAAGTTGATTTCACACAATGCATACTCCAACTGCAAAATTTCCTGACATAGAATATTACAGAGGCCAAGAGAATACTGTGACAAAAAATGAAATTATATGAATTTGTGGAGAATAAGTTGATTACTTATTGTAAACAGGATGGTTTAGGAGAAGTCTCAGATCTTGTAAACACATTCTTTCTGCTAAAGAAAGACCTTCCACTATCCTCTAGTGGGTAGGTAAACAGATGTTCAACAGTCTAAAATGACAGCAGTTCTTATAATTCAAATAATTTCTAAAGTTTCTTTAAATTGAAAACTCTTTATTTTTGACAAAACCACTCTCAGTACATGATCTCCCAGTTTTTTGCTGGGAAAGGAGGGTAGACAGCCTTCTGTGCCAGTTGCTCAGATAGAGTGTTGAGATTGCTTTGTCCTGCACCTCTTCAGGTTTACTCCAAGTTTTTTACTAATATTTTTGTGTCTGCATTTTTCAGAAAAATTGTCCTGAGGCAGGGAAAAAAAAATCTTGCATGTGATTGGAGGTGGGGTGACAATCAAAGTTTCTGCCTCCTAATTACCCATTTTTTAGATGGCCAGAAACTTAATAGACACACCATCTTGCTGAAAAACAGGGAATTTTTCACATTTAAAAGTAGTAAATGAATAATTATCAGTCACATGCCAGTGTTTAACCCTGATATCAGCAATCAAATGCTGTTTAAATATGCCACAGAAGACTGAAGTAAATTTAGGCTGAAAAATATGCAAAACCTTGCATATTTACTTTTCCTGTGTGACCTACATTTGGGTTCTAATTGTGGAAGAGGAATTTGCTTTTGCAAACTCAGCTCTAGATATTTTGGCAGGTATACATTTAATAGCTTGCTTGTGTTCCATGGCACACTACATGTGTGAAGCTTCCTTTTCTCCTGATAATCCTTATTAAGAACTTGAAGAAAGTACTACATGCATTTAATTTTATTGCTATTAATAATCTTTCTGTTATTCAGAGGCTTTGGGGAGGGATGGTGCCTTGTATATGAAAACTTGGAAGATGAACAGTGTGATGCCAGTTTCTGTACAGAATGAATACAAATATCTGCGTATATGGAATGAATATAAACTATATTAAAATATTTCATAAGAGCCATATTGTGGAGATGTATTTCAGCATTTCATTTTATATTACATTAAAGATTTAACTAAAATAATTGGTGCGGTCATATATGTTCAGCAGTTATAACATGAATAATTACTTTTATATGCTGATGTTAATGCTTCATGGTATAGTATGAAATCCATACATTAATTTATGTATTATTGACAGAGGGTAGTCGTAACTTACAGTAAGGAAGATGATGCATGTCTTTTCTTTTTCCAGGATCCAAAAGAATCAGTGACAGCGAAGTCTCTGATTATGACTGTGATGATGGAATTGGTGTTGTTTCAGGTACTGATGTTTAAATTTACTTCTCCAAGTTCAGTAGAAATATTTCTTGTTTATAATTTATTATGAATTTTGCAATGTTTTTCTGATGAAAAGTAAGTGGAAATTAAGTATATATGTTTCTAAGAGACGCAAAATAAATATAATGTATAATCTCAAAAATTACTAATGGGGGAAAAAAAGTCAGCGGGTGAATGTTCTTATTGCCTTTATATAATGATAAATATAGCATAGGTAGTGTTTTTAATAAATGTCCAGAAATGTTAATTTCTTTTTTTTTGACAGACATATGTTGATATATCCTGTAAAATTTCATAATGGAATAATAACACTACCAAAGGTCTGAAACATTTAAGGCAGGACAGGAGATAGCAGATAATCTGTTTCACTAAGTATTGTAATTGAGCCTATTTGAGAAAAAAGTTATCATGGTCAAAGAGTATGTCTCCCCTTCTAAGAGAAAAGATAATACCAGATAAAAAATATTTATAGCTGAAAACACTAAAATCACAACCATATGCTTTTCATTACTACAACAGAGAATATATTTAAGATTATAGAATCATGGACACTTTTAGGCTGGATCAAGTCCAACTGCTAGAACTGGAAAGTTCACTACTAAACCTTGCCCCTCAGTCCCACAGCCACACGTCTTTTAAATGCCTGCAGGAGTGGTGACTCCAGCCCTTCCCAGCCTGTTCCATTGCTGGACAGCTCTTTCAGGAAGATTTTTACCAGTATCCAACCCAAAGGAGGCAGCTGTGCCACCTGTAACCAGCACTGAGGGCTGACGCTATCAGCACAGAGTGGGGTACTCCACTCAGTGTATGTTCTGTTACCCTGGTGCTCTTCTGAGATTTTTAACACTCAGGGTTTTCTGTGCTGGACAGTTGCTGGTTCTCTTGGGTGAGGTCCAGCTCCAGTGTTAGACAGTGGGGTTTGGGAAAGGCTGAGCAGAATAATCTGTCTGGTCTACAGCAGCTGTGGGAGCATGATCCGCTCAGGTCAGTCAAAGCGTGTTCCTGCCACGCAGCCACCCATCAGCACATGGGGTACAGCATCTTCTGCTGGAGGCTAAGGAGGGGAGACAAGAAAGAGGAATGAGAGCAGTACTGCTCACCTTGGAAGTAAGAGTGAATAAAAAGAGTGAGGTAGGCAATCCTGAATATTGCGAGATGGTGTGAAGCCAAGTATTGATCAATCCGGACATTTAGTGAACTATCTAATTATATGAGTTGGCCTAGTTCTGCTTTAAAATCTATTACCAGTCTGAGATGCATTTCTATTTTGTCTACATAGTCATGCTTTTATTTCCAGGCTATTTCATGGTTAGCTCATAGGCTGTGCTTAATTTTTGACCCTGGTATGTTACTATTCCATGCTATGGGTCTTGCACTTCCAAGGACAAGGAGATATCTTTTACTTAATTTTTTTTATAGTAAACAGCATATAAATTTTATGAAAAAGCCCTTCTTATAAACTGATAAAATTTTACAGACTTTATGATTTAAACAGGGCAGGTCATATTTGTGCTAAGGTTCCAGGAGTTTTACAAGATAAAAAAAAGAACACTAGACCTGCAAAACCGCTGAAATTTCTGTGTTCCTTAAAACATTTATCTTCAAACATTAACAGGCTATTTGTTCAGATTATTACCTTAATTAGAAATCTATTAAGGAAAATTTATGGCTGTTTTATATTCCCGCTCCCCTGTTTCCTTTATTACAGTCAGAAGAGAGGAAGGACAGAGAGCCAGTGGTGTGAAGTACTGGAACCAAAGAGGCAGCCATCCTCAGAAGCCCTTAGTTTCTATTTACTGTACTTTCAGTCTTTGATGAGCTTTCGGTCTGTAATTAGTAGTCTCTAAGGCGTTCTGACTGCCTGTCCTCCCAAAAATAAGGGCTTTCATATTGCTGTGGGTCAGTTAAATTAAAAATGTATCAATCTAATTTAGGAGCTTAAAAATAAAGGTAGGAAATAACAGCATTTAATGGATACATTTCTAGAGTGCCCAGTATAGCATCATTTTGAAAGTGATGGTTTTTTTTTTCCTATTCTGGAAAAGGATACCAAGTTTTGCAGGTTTTGTTTTGACCAGGTGCTGGAATATCAGCAGGATTCGTATGAAACACCTAGATTTACAAATTTGATTCAATAAATTTATCTTTTGACAACTTGTAAAATGATGGTCTTTACAGTTGAGTGAGCCTACTTCCCTTACCTGAGTTTCTGATATACCTTTAGTTTTTTAGGATCTTTAAGCTATTGAATTTTTGCTGAACATTTCTATACCTTAGTTGCATTTTAATTCAGCCTGGCTCTGCAGGTAGGAAAATTTGATAGTTTTTAGGTTTTGAAATATTAATTTAGTGCCTTACTTTTTTTGTGCTTCTGCCACTATGATTGTAAGTCTTCTGGTTTAGTCTTGTCTTACCCTCCACTCTCCTTATCATTCCCTCAATTGTTTTAAGTTCCTCTATTTGTTTGTAGACTCATCAACATCTTGGTTTAAATATGCACTGTTTGCATGAAAACATTTGTCTCTCTTTGTTTGCTTCCTTTCTTACTTACCCCAGTTCTTTCATTTTGTATTTTCAGGTTTTATTTAACATGACACTTTGCTATTCTTCTGTCTGCTATATAAATAGTGCATTACATGAATTAAGCTTGCCAACATCTTTCAAGTACTCTCAGTGATCCTTTCCATAAAATTAATTCCTAGTATCACACCTGTGAACTAAAAAACCTTTAAGAAGAATAAAAATTATCTCTTTGCTCCTCTTCAATTTTCTTTTATTCATAATGGTTTACTAGATGTCCTTTAAAGTTCCCTTCCAATTCAAACCATTCTGTGATTTTATGAGCTCTTGGAAAAATTATTTACCAAATCTCTCATGTCTTGTGTCTTGGATCTTAGCCTGCTTAGACAAATGTATTAAACTTCAGTCTGTTGTTTCTGTCAACAGGAAAGGCCTTTAAAAAAATAGTGATAAACAGATTGAAAAACTTCAATGTCTTTTTTTCTGGCTACACATATATTCTCCAACAGTAATTGTTACAAAGAGTTATAGCATATTACGTATTTAAAAAGCAAGTTTTTACTGGATTCTAAAATAGGTCTCTTCAAATATAATGTACATTCTTCTTGGAAACGCTGGAAAGGTCTCTATTAATATTTTGTCTTTGTTGGCATTAATCTTACCATAGGATAGTGGAATGAACACCATTCTGGTTATGTCTAGAGATTGGTTATACATAGCTCTCAAACAATTTAAAGCATTTATTTTGCTGTCCTGAACAATAAACCTTCGCCCTCAAAGTTGTCTGTCACCAGAAGTTCTTTGTGGAAGTACACCAGCATCTACACCTGCCCTTTGGAATGTTCTTACATCCTTTTCAATAAAAGCTATACAGTATTTTTATATTGATTTTTTTTTTAATGCCAGAAATGTTTACAAAAAATCATTTATATTATAACAATGAATACAACTCAGTGAAAGGCAGGTTGGCTTTTTGGGTGGTTTTTTTTCATTCTAGTGTCCAAAGTTAAGCATGCATTGCAGTTAACAAATTCAAGGAATATGGACTATAATTTCTAAATAGTTTTCTTCCCAGATACTTTCTGGGGTATGTTGAACCTAGAGAATACAAGCAACCTATTGGGTCTGACTTTATGAGCAGAGACATGCATTGTCAAGATTATTTAATCATAAAATTTTCACCTATTGTTTTTGTAACACTAAAATGTTAAGTAAGATAATAATGTCCAAAATTCAGTTCTACTCCAATATCTCATCTGCATTACAACATATTATGTATTATGAAACACTTGCAATCTGAGATATGTTTCAACAGAAGCAACAAATTAATCATGGAAGAATGTAAGGCAATGGATTCTACATAGACTGCATTACAAGTCTCTATTATAGAGAAGACCTTTTCTCAGTAAAACAATGCAGTCTCCAGCTTTGAGAAGAAAAACATTTATAGTGATAAGTTTTTTATCATTATGCAGAAGATAGCTGTATGTTTCAGGAAGAAATAAGAATACAAAGAAGATATTTATTCAGAGGACAGTTAGGTCCATGTAAATTAGGAAAAAATAGTAACCATCAGTACAGAAGTTATTACTGAACCTTCAAAAATATTTCTGTGTTTGAAGAACAAAAAGAAATTATCCATTTTTGCTTCACCTCTCAAAACACCTGAAGAATCCGTTTTTCAAAAGAATACTTTCACTGTCATGTTGCAGCCTTTGCTGCAGAGGAAATGTGTTTTTCTCTATTTGCTGATAACATGAGCTGAATTTTTATTCCTGAATCCTGTGGTGATTGCTTCTCGAAGCAGATGCAGAAAACACACTTTGGTTACAGATTGAAACCAACAGCCTATAGAAAGACATCTTACAGCATTAGCACATAGAGTGGATTACTTCTATCCCTACTAAAATACAGATTTCATTGTATTACCAGATTACCAGCTAGCCCTAAATGGGAGCCCATAGTGACCCAAAAGCCCAGTAACTTCAGATGTAAACACTGACAAGGTTTTTATTTTATTGCATGTTGATACCAAGTGCCCTGCTCTAAAATCTGTTCTTTCTGGGTTCTCTCTTGATTAAGAATGTTAGTCTGTGTATCACAAAAATCCCTCTTCCAAACTGAAATTCAAGCCATGTTAAATAGTCCTTATGCTGACTGCCTAGATCAATGGATCTTTACCCATTTTCCTTTCTTTGAAACAAATAATTTGTATATTTTTTACAACATTTTGCCTAAAGTTCTTTACACATTATTATAATTCTTCAAGCTTTTCTTTCATTTTTAGTTTTCTTTCTTAATATATACTTTCCATTTTACATGTTCATTATCTTATTTAAATTTTGAATGTAATACTTTTATTATCTAAAAAAATAAATTCTTCAGCTGACAAATCATCTTTCTCTTCAAACATACAAATTCTCTCAATGCTTTTCTTTAAACTAGTCAAAACTAGGCAAGACT